CAGTCAGTGTAGACAGCTGACTGAAAAATATTGTATCACATACTGGTTATTCATAATTAATCAGAAAAATATCTTTACATCATAGCTAAATAATTCCTCATCTCTGGCTACATTTAGTGGTAAAAAATCAACCTGATCGAAGGCATTAGAGCTGAGCAAAGATGCATTTGAGTTTACAAGTGCTGACGTCCCATCTGAAAAAGATGTGACACTGATAATCCCCTGCGGCTCTGAGACATGACAGTTAGGAGTAGAAGATGTAAAGTTGTCACAGAGTTTTGAACATAGATATTTTCTTAGCGTTGCCCACATTCGATGGAATCTCCGTGTGAGAAACGTTGAGGCCGGGTGAAGGGTACTAAGCAAAGTATATAAGTAGACTGATGATGTTGGAAACCTTAGCTGGCTTAAATGGCTTGGGCGTGTACTGCGCATGCTAAGCCATCGCTTACTTCGACGTGGCATGCTAGGTAAATTTGGATTAGATTGAAAGAGGGTTAGTGGTGGTCAGACCAAGACGTGGTACTAGTCGATGAAGTCTCTTACTGCTGATGGGAGCTGTATAGGGAGATGCAAATTACTTATCTGACATCCTCAGAACCATAGGAATCAAGATTTGAGGAGTTTCAAAAACATGACTGGCAGTCGGCCTCAGTGGCATAAATGTATTCACTCTTTGACTTCTTTTGAAGCAAGAAGATTCGCACTAACCTCTTCCTTCAAACTGCTTATTCTTTGACATAACTTTGTCATCTCTTATGTCACTCTTATTAGACTCACATGTTCCTTGTGTGCTGTGAAGTGTGGCGAGTTGAACCGATACACTTACGTGAGGGGTTCCACGTTGAGTTTGTCTGTATGTCTGATGTTAATAGTGGGCTCGAGTTAATAAATAAATCATATTATTTACGCACTTCAATGTTTTTAAATTTTGTAGGGAAGAGGACTTCATTACTGTGAAGAGAAATGGTCGGCTAACTTGAGAAAATCGTCAAATTTCCGTTTGCCTAGTCGTTAGTTTTACTTTCTTGAAAACAAATCGGTTGTGTAATCTGCACTGTGAGAATAATTTTCTAATACTATCCTTAATTTTACACCTGCATAAAAGTAGAGCTCACGTTACGCTTACTGAAAAAGTAAAGCGTCAGCGTATATTTCTTACAATGAAAAAGGTATTGCCAACAACTGATACTAATCACCATCGCTATCTAAACGACTGTTATCAATGTTCAGCAGTGCGATTCACGTATTGCTTATTTCCTTTTCTTTACATCGCTGCTAAAATGACACTAATCACCACCTGTCTTTGAAACCTAACTTTGGTATGGTTAGGCTGTTGATATATATCGTCTGCTTGATTTCTAATTGATGCTGAAAGGTAAAAGGGGTAGAATTTATCATTGTTTTAACGACTTCATGATACTTTCTGGACACAGAAGTCTATCATATACACATTAGGTTAAAACACAGAAACCTTTCCTAAAGTGTTTTTGTAGTTTTTTCATCTTTTTGAAACACAAAGGTGAAATAAGGTGTTTAAAAAGTTTGTGACATGGCAATGATTGAAATGTATTTTGAATCCTTAAATTAAATATATACACGCTAGTCCTTACATTAAGCGATCACCATAGAGCAACCAACCTCATGTTGTCTAGCCCTGAGCGCTGACTGAATTCTATTTATCGTTATGTCTCCAACCAACTAAATCACTAGTCCTTGGGAAACCACCATCATAGCGACTATTCTGTTCATAACTTTGAGACAAAGTATTCAGTCTTCCAAACGTTTCTTGATTAAGTACCAGGGGTTTTTAGTTTTAACATTGATTTAGTAACCAAGTAAGAAAATCTGATAAAAATTAAATCCCGTGCAATTTCTTTTCAGTCAGATCAATATAAAATATTTTCTTCATGTATAGAAATCTTTTTGCAGGAAAGATAGGTAAATAAGAGAAAGCTTATGGTGTTGATTACGTTTACCAATAAAATACTGTTCCGTTATACCAATACAAACATTAAATCAAGTTTGATACCAACCTGAGATTTTGTTTACAGAAAAATAAGACAATTAACAGTTCGTAAACAATGGTGGAACAATATACAGAAAAAAGCAGCAGTAAATATTTTCTCTTATAGTGTAAATCACCCTAAAGATTGGTGTGCAAAACTTTCTATTGAAATAATACTGACTTATCTGGTTGTACTGATCGGATTCTCAACTGAAACAGTTTTAGGACTTATACAAATTAGCACAGATTCTAATGTATAAGAACTGAAAATACTAATCAAAGTAATCGTTACTATTGTAAAATTGTATCGACGAAACCACATGACAGGTTATATATAATTGGTCAAGTGGTGATATGAAACAAAACTATTCCATGGGATCCGTTAAAACGTGACAAATGCAGCTTGTTGTCGGAATAACAACTTTTTAATATAGTACCATAAAAAAGTATATTGAATATGGAAGTTGGCAATGTAACTAGCTCGATCTGCTTATGTACCACTAGTATAACTGCTTAGCTCATGCTCACAGGTAGGAAGTACTGTGTAGTTTCTAGTTGATACTGGGTGATGATTGAGGGTAAAATGAAAATTTAGATCGCGGCGGGATTCGAACAAGTGACCGCTAGGTTTACGGTATCAGTATCAGTCTGTCAAACCACGGCTACCTCATATAGCCAAAATGATGATTTCTAGTTGACATTAGCACTTATATTGTTCATACTGAACACTGATTGATCTTCACACAATTTGAAAGCTTTTAATCCCCTAGTAAATATATTTGATGCTCTTTTACTACTGCGCTCATTTGTTTACCTCGGCCATGATTTTGTTTGCTTTTTGAATAGATTAAGAGAACTAATGGGAAACCATAAAGATCAATTAACATATTTTTGTTTCACAAGTGAGTTCGTGTGCCCACTGCATACAGCATAAAATGTAGAGTACATGCTTCCAGAAATTTGATTTTGCGGAGTGTTTAAAATTTATTACGATGACGATCGTTATATTTCGTATTTCAGTGGATAGAATTTTTCTTAGACATCTGCCTTCTTTATATAGTTATATTAAACAAAATTCGACAAAGCGCTTTTGATTAGACTGCCAACATTACATAGCTATAAATGGCAGGTAGCCTATAATGTGACTTTAAACAACCACTGATATTGTTACCCACATACTCTTATTTGCTGGCGGAGCACCTTACGAATCAACCAACAAATTTCAGTTTCTCTTCCGCTACATGATGTTTTGAGTAATGTAATATTGAAGTTTATGCTTCTTCAACACTAAAATCGTTGTTTAGTTTTGAAGTAACATTCAGAAAGTTTGTGTTTCAGGAAACAAGCCTTGTCCTGTAAACTCCTATGAATATTTTCATTGTAATATATCTCATTAATTGTTATAAAACACAGAATGAAAAGCTATTTCAAGAAGACTTGCAAAACAGAAATAGAAATGATATCATAAGATTGTCAGTGCCGTTAAAACGTAGAAGATATCAGTATTATCAACTAACATTTTGGCAAAAGCTTGTGATTCATAAGTCAGCGACGTCGTTCAAACTTCATGACGGCGATACAGCTAACTTTTTATTTCAACGACAGCTTTTTTGATATTCATGGACACAAAAGCAATAGACTTGTTCGAATAATTAAGCAGTACTACTTGAAGTAACTGAAGTAAATTGGTCAGTCGTTCAAGGTGAACGAAAGTCTACTCGTTTAGTGACTGCTGTGGACCAAGTGATCAGTGCAGGCTATTTCTAATATCAACAATTTCATAAGAATCAGAATTCCGGTTTAAAAGGGGAAAAGAGAAGATTGACTGTTTCTACCTTACTCTACAGGTTTTAGTTATATACTGCCACGTAAACTAAGACTGGTTTATACAACCTTCCACAAAATGATTTCACTCATAGACTATACTCGCATTTACTTATGCTCATTGAGTACAAGTGTATGCATATTGGAATGCTAAGAGACATTCACATAAGAAATTAAGACCAAATATATATCCAGCCCGCGTACTAAAGGGCTTGTCTATTGCAGTTCTTCTGGAATGTAAAGGCATCAGAATAGTCTATCAAACTTACTGTCATATTATTTCTTCTTATGTTCTTAGTTTATATGCTGTGGGTTTCTAAGATTTATTTTTATTCCAACACAGAGTCAAATTATTCACTCCTTGAATTTGCCACTATGATTTACTAAAGCGCCCTGACTGTTTCTTTCTGACTTTACTACAGACTGTTATTCTGTTCTTTTTCAGTGAATCATAGTTTAATGTAGTTGTCAGGACACCATGGAAATAAAATGGATCCGTTTTTTATACTGCTCCCAGTGTTGTTCTTCCTCTCTTTAAATTATTAAAGAAAAATTAAAGTATGAGCTATTTATCTTTAATGTAAGCGATCCTATATAAAATCTAAGATTCCTTACTCATTTCATCACTCTTATTATTGCTAAAGTGACCTTTAAAGTCGCCGCATATAAGATTGGACCAGTTATATAATGCCAGCATCTTTTCCTCCAGAAACCTACTCCTGTTAACTTTAATTAACTAAGTGTTTATACTTTAGAGCTTTCATATTGACTAAAATCACTGATCTGAAAAGTTCAGTGACGATTACTTTATCTTCTGGGCCTTGATGTTGGATAGAATTCTATTTACACAGTGCTTTGATTCGCGTAGCTTTTTCTTTATCACAAGTGAAGTTGCATTGGTAGTCAGAATATCAATACTGAAGTCACATTTTATGATTATGCACAGTTGTTTTAGTAACAGAAAAGGCTTAACTAAAAGCCACAATTATCAAGTAAGTAAAGGTTAGATTCTTCAGGAATTTGTATCTAAAGGACTGTGATTTCTCAAAGTAATGGGTGTCATGACAGTTCATCTATGGATATGATGGATTAAATATTTTATAAGATATGCATATAGTTACGTTACCTACGTACGATAATTTTCCCAGTTCTTTATTCTTACTTTTAGCAGTATACTGCGGCTGGAACATCAGAATTACTCTACAGGACAATCAGACTACTGTAATGAGCCATCTGGATTCAACGGAAACTGCAAATAAAAACCAGACTATAGTGGTTGAAGCATTGTGGGATGAAACCTCTAAGAATCAAACACAGGTGACAGTTCACGCCGGTGAATCCATAATATTTGTTTGTCGTATATGGACTTCCAGTTCAGGTGTTCAGCATATATCAAACTCTGAGACACATATAACTGAGCAATCAGTATTTCTTTTCTGTCCAATGAGTGTTGCATACTGTGCCCAAGATTGTCTATTGGTGGACTCCAAATGGCCATTTCAGTGTACTAGACAGTTTAGAATAATATCGGATTCAAATTTGCCGTGGTCTGGAGACGTGAGGTATGCAAACAGTGCTCGAGAACGGCATTTACAAGAAGTGATCTACAAAGTGGATATAGCGACTATAACTTCTACTGGGTCCTGGAGTTGCTCGTATGGTGGATACCATTCCAACACTTTAGAGCTGACAGTACGAGGTAAATATCTGAATGATTACCCTTACTTCAAAGTGGTAATGAAACAGTTTGATTCGTACTACTTGGTAATGCCCTCAATAAGCTTGACATTCAAAAGAAAGCTGTAGTGTCAACTAAACAGGAGCAAAATTTCAGAGAAAGGATGTTGACATTAGTTAATTCAGTGACCTTTCTTATTGGTTAAAAGCAGAACTTTCCCTCTTGAAATTCTTGGTTACATTCATCCAGTTAAAATTAAATTAAAACAAATTTTTTGCATTTATTTTGCTTTCGCAATCTGCAAATTTGGAGTCATATAAAGCAATTCTAACTTTTGGTAGTTTAAACAGGCTATAATTTCTCCTCAGCACATTGCTGAGGAGATATGATACGTCAGTAGAATCTGTCTCTCTCTTTGTAGATAGCTTAGAAAAAAGGCATGGACACGTTTGTGTATAAAAACAGACTTCGTTTTGAGTTTCAAATCTTCAGTTATGTATTAAGCAAATTGATATTCGCACTTAACCTAGCCATATAATAGTTGAAAAGAAAACTTCCGTCACCTATGAATAGAAGTACCAATTAGCATTTATGAGAGCAGATGCTGTGATATCTGAGTGTCAGCTATTTTTCTAAAAAAAGCTGACAAAACCCAAAAGTAAGCTTGTATAAATGAACATTATCCAATTTTTGGTTTAAAAGGACAACTCAGTCAGAGTAATGATAATGTTAAAAAGATTATTCTTAAGCTACACGTAATTTCAACTACCATTTTAGTCTACGTTCAGATACAACGCACTGTGAAGTAGTGTTTTGTTGGATTACAGGAAATTTTCAAACATACAGAATTTTGCCTCGGTTGAATTCATTATAATTAAGGGAAACTCAAGACTTTAGTCAAGTCCCATTCCATTAAATTTTGTTTGTTTGATATTTCACACGAAAAAGCAACATTTTCCCTTCATAACTTTCCGGATTCAAGATTTTCATCATGGTCATATCAAGGTAACTCCCAAACTTTGAGATGTGGTTTATACAGTTCTGGTTCCACAAATATAAAACAGTTACTCAATGGTTCCTTCTACATATGTTTGACCTTGATATAATCGCTGGTCTCTCTCTATTGAAGTGGAGCTATGGTGCATTGGTTTATTGAGATGACTTTCAACCAACAGGCCACGAGTTCGAAGATCCCTCCACCTATCTAGGTTTGGGCAGCTAGAAAGAATCACTTGCCCTCATACATTAGGTGAAGCTCATTACCTCCAGTCAAACCAGACTACTTGTGAGAAATATCACTCTATTTCATCACTGTAAGTGACAGTATCCCGCTCTTGCACTGTTGAAGTGTAGCCTTACTTTGGATTCCTTAAATTAGCAAGATCTGTCGAAATTTCTGCGTTCAAACACCGACTGACTCTGGCCGACTATTTTGATATATGCTTTCGATGTTGTAATCCAGTTGATGACACTGTTTCACTATATGATGCATGTTGTAAGCGGACTAAAATGGTAGTTGACATTACATTTACCATAAAAATAGTCACCCCTTTAATGGTTTCATAAAAAAGCCTGTTTTGACCCCTCGGATTCGTCTTAGAACGATTACTAGATCTTGTTAGTATTTGAAAACCGACCTACAGATCTTTTATTAGTTTTGTTGCTTTGTGTGATTGAATGTTCCTGAATGGATCTTTCAGTATCATTCCATATGTTTTTAAGTAGCGCTAAGAATGAAACTTGGACTAACATGAAAAATGTCGTTTATAATCGAACCAAAATGAAGAGTATACATTTCAACCACCTAACGCCGAGGGACGCACATTGTGTAACTAATGAAATTTTCCCTTCATACTGTGAAAACGATCAACTCAATAACGTTTTATGTTAGTGATAAAAACTAAAGTTTAGAATTTATTATGTAACTTGTTCCCTACAATTTATAGAGTGCCTTACGTGAATCCATTCTGTGTTGAAAAAATTATTTACCTTTAAATGTCTCGCAAGAAGTTATGTGGCTGTAGAATGACGTTTATAAAATATCATGGAGATTTTAATCTCCATGAAAACTGAAGTTTCTGTTAAGTTATTAGTTACGGTCAAACTATGGCTCAAAACATAACCGTCAAATTAGGAGATATGATACTTTCAAGTACAGTTTTATTTCAAGATTGTAAGATTCAGTCGTTAGGATGCCCTAAACCCAAGTTTGTGTTTGCTGGTACTCGTCAACAAAGTGTGTATGCAAACTTGAGAAAATTCAGGCCTCCTCAGAACTTCAAACTTGCTCAGTGCAGTTCTCCTGGCAGGGTTGGTGTTCACTTAAGTCTTTAGGCCACCACTGAGCTGTACGCGAACTCAGCGAACTTTATGAAGACAACGGTATATCTCACTTTTGTATGTTCAGTATGACTTCAACGGTACGGAATTACAAATAATTTTCACAACAGTTTGAAAAATGCACACAAAATACATATGGATATATTAACCCGTAACTTATCAGTTTAAGGCATAAAATATGGAAACCTTAAGTCATTTCTCTTAAGTCTTGGCGCCCAGTCACGTTTATGTAAAAAGTATCAACTAGGAGTGAATAAGTTTCTTTCATAGGGTAAATTAATACTGTTGTAAAGAAGACAGGTTTTCTGTTTGCCTATAATCCACTTAAGCTGTAGAAACGATATTCAGTAGGATTCTGAGTTTCTGTTTGGTCGTCCGGTTTTCTAAAATACTTGTCAAGTATGTCCAAGTATGCAGCAGGATATGAAAATCCGCGAAGACAAATGGATTAGGAAAATTGTTTCTTTTCTTTAACAGCTATCAACTGTGATTTTGTGAGCTTAAGGACTAAAATTTGATCTGTTAGTATTGAATATGTTGAGCATCGGGTTGATGGTTTATTAAAGGGAATACATTCGTACAATTCCATTGAGATGGAAGAATGAATTTCTAACAGTTCGCAACCTCATGAGAGCAGCTTCTTTGGAGAAGAAAATAGCAACAAATCAGACTCTGTTGTTAATACGTGATAATAATACAGGAATGAGTGTTTTCGCAACAATTATTAGACTGTGAGTTCGAGGTGACAGTATGAATGCGTATGTGCATGTGAATGGGTGAGATGTGAGAAATATGTTGTAGATGAGAAATTTTTTTGTTTGGATACATGTACTTCAGTTATAACTAGTGTGCGCAACTTGTTATTTCGGATATACTGCCCCATTTGATTGGTTCGTTACACCTTTTTTTCTGCTGCGTGCATCAAGACTCAACATAATGTGAAATTTCTCAGGCATTTGTCTTCCTTCGTAGATTTAAAAATGTTTTTAAATAATTTTATTATTTCCAATATTATTTGACTATGATAGGTGGCATGAACCGCAAGTGCCGATTTGATTTATAAATTCTCTAATTCTGCAGGATTATAATCCTGTATTATTTTTACCGGGTACTGGTATATTCTAGATTCTACTCAGTTCAATTCTTAGGTCAATGTGTATCTGTAAACCCTCATCTTACATCTACATAATACATAACTTTTATGTTGCAGAACCTTCAAGTCTTCCGTTCTTGATCTTGTGAAGCTTCAAGACAGTTTCATCGTATTCTGTCAATTTTGGTAACATTCTTCGCTCTGCTAAATACTTCCTTTTAGTTAATGAATACACATTATTTTGTTCAAATTATATTTTTACTTGCTTTCTATGCAAATAAGCAATGTTCATACGGATCACAATTTTTGACCATTTTAGACACTATACTCTTTGTTGATTGATTACAACTAAACAGATTACTACACAGTAAATACGTTTTAATTGGCGCATCACCTATGCAGACTAAGTAATATATAAACATAAAAAGTTAAGAAGAGAATATCGTGGCATTGTTACATTGTTGGTGCTGAACGGTTCAGTTGTCAAGCCTTCATTGTCCCGCTTAACAATAACATCAACACTAACTTTAATATGAGGTTAGCTTAGATGGTATGGTCTAGAAAGGTAGTGAAAACTTCATGGCTAAACCACAGAGCTCAGAAAATTCCAAAAAAATACACTTGATACATGAATACGTTCCGTCATTTTAAAAGGGATATTAACTTCAGCAAAGAACCTTACATGGCACACGTTCATTCGGTATAAAAAATGATGCTTCATCAAAATTCTTGAAACTTATGCCACCAAAAAGGATTGTAGATTATAGTGGTTACTTAATGTTTAGCAGCTTTGTGCTACGTGATTTCTAGACAAAATATAACAAGTCAGTTATATTCAGCTTATTTACATTTTACACCTTTATGTATCACGCATAACATCTAAGGTCTTTCAATAAGTGCTTCTTACTAGCATTTAAAGCGTACCAATTATGTAGTTTACCTTCATGGAATGCCTATTTGTTTACGTCACAATATTACCTTCATTACTAGTAGCAATAAATCATTTACTGGTCAATTACTAATAGGTTTATTTAGTTTGGTTACAGAATAATATAAAAACTCCAAATTTTATACTTTTACAGCTGACGTGATAATAGAGTTCAACAGCCATATTTTAGCTATACCTCCAGTATGCATATGAGTTAACACAGTAGAATTGAACAGTAACCAGATAGAAAAGTCAACGTAAACTTCTAATAGAAGTAAGGAGGTTTGAATTTTTCATCATCGTGTTACAGAAAAAAATCGGAGAGGATAGGGGCAACTTCCAAATGACTGTCATCTTGCAATCAATTGGAATAGGAATTTTTTGAGTATACAGTTAACAATGAATTCTCTCAAGATTTTATGAACAAACCTGGACATTTGCCAGAAAAAGGGGAACCTTGAAGCGTCTATTGATAAAGTATGAAGAATGGTAGTCTGTTAATTGATTCCTATTTGGTTCTGTTATTAGTCCATCAAGAATAGACGTGTTAACAAAGGCAGAGAAATTAGGTCTCCTTTGGATACAAAGTATATACATAGTATATTTTATGACGGTTCATAATGATAATAACCTCCATCGAGAAGTGAAGTACGTGTTTTTACTTGCAATAAAGGGATGTATGAGACATTCACTTTTTGATCATAATGGATAACTGATAGATTCAATAACTCTGAGTAACCAGTTAATGTGTCAAATAGTTCTTAAAATACTTTCATAGATGATAAAAAATCGAACGAAATGTTGAAATTCATCTTCAGGTTAATGTCAAAACAGTAAACACCACTGCTGATTACTTTAATTTGTAGAAAATTGAAATATTTCTTCATTTACTAGTGAATACAGCATTATTTGTTGGTACTCATAAGTTATATTGACGTTTCTGATACATTTATTCAGCATTCAATTTAAATGTTTTTACAAAGGCAGTGCAACTCCTGCAGTTATTTATTAAGTGAACAGATATCAACAGGTCTTGGTCACTGTTTGTCAGTTAACGTGCAACTTTTTTGTGTGTCTTTTATGATTTATTTACCGATTTTGTTTGATTTAAATAGATCGGCCGGCACTTTTATCATTGAAATCAATTCCACCTAGTCCAGTTGAAACTGGAACTAATGTTAAGCTTATATGTGAAGCTGCTCCTAGTCCTAAAGCTGCCTGGTATACATTTATTTGGCGTCGTCTAGGGAGTCAGATGCCACCAGCGCATTCTACTCTGCGTATATCTGACACAATTTCCATTTTAACACTATTATCGGTACAACCAGTCGATGATGGAGTATATACTTGTCATATTTTGCAGTCGTCTTCAAATTCTGTCAATGATGAATGGTGGGATAAAACTGAAATCATGAAATCAAGAGTTAGTAGTCCCACGGACAAATTGAAGTTTACAAAAGATCCAGCAATGCAACGTTTGCATTTAGATGTTTACCGTAAGTAATATGTTCCTTTATAAATAGTTTTCTAAAGGTGTTCCTTCTACCTTTAAAGAATTTGGTCAGTATTCTTAGACATCATGAATGTAAATGTTATAACAACCCAACTGGGATTAGATGAATTATGGAGAAACGTAGAGGCTGGTCAGAGAAAGACATCGCAGTCTTAAAAGTATAACGAGGCAAAAAAGTAACTTATAACTCTGCAATTTGAAATAGCTTAAATAATTAACACTTAGATTTTTGAATAAATTAGTGGTAAATGGTGAAATTCAAAAATGATGTTGTCCTTATTTTGAATAACTTTGGATTCACCTCATTTTTTGTGCAACAACAACTAGTCTGTAGACGACAATATAACATTCTCAAAAAAATGTCTATAAAGTATGTTGAATGAAACAGCATCCATCCATCTTCGTTTTGGGTGACCAGTTGACTTACTTTAAGCAGCTCGTGAAATACAGGATTTCATATATTATGAAATTCTTCACCGATTGCTTGATACAAATTATTTGAACTATAATCTATAGTTGTTTATATTGCATTTTATTAGGGCTTTTCTCCTACTGAATGAACCAAGTGAGATTGTTACATCTGTGTAAACTAATTACCAATGTTAATGTAGAAGACAATTCTGTTAATGCTTTCTCTCAAACTTCTATAGTATGGAGTTTTTCAACATTCCTTAGTTTCAAAAACAGAAATCTTCATATTGTTTTATGTTAACCCAAGTTGTAGTTCCCAATCACTATAAGATTTTTCATAAATATTTTCATTATTTGTGTGTTTTATGATTTCCAGTTGTCTGATACTACACGTAGATAGCTTCCCATTAATGTAAAGAAGCTATTGAAGTAGTTTTACGTATGGTTTTACAACGATACACAAAGCTGTGTGTAATATCTTTGTAGGCATCTTGCTTATTCCTCTAAAATAAGTTTAAACAACTCAGTGGTGAACTTTATTGTCTTCAGGTACAATATTGCATATCAGGGGAATATGCAATGCATATCTTTTTCAGTTGATTCTCTGTGCGTTGAACTTTAACTCTTTTCGAAGTAAACATAGCAAACAGTGATACTGTAAAATTTAATTTGATGCTAAGGCAACTAGAAGTTAAGAATCGAAAGTGGTACTGGTTGAAAGATTGTAAGTAATTTGTGCATTATATTTTTACCATTTTCTTTTTTACTTCGTTCAACTTAAATACATTGAAATCTTTTTTCTCTAGATCCTCCCACATCTCTAAACTTAACAGTTTTTCCACGTGGACCTTATAAAGCTGGAACAAACATCACCTTCACTTGTCATATTCATGGTGGTAAACCAAAGCCATTGGTTCACTTTTATCGTACAAGCACTCGATTTGATAATGGAAATATATCTGTTATAAACTTGAATTCATATAATCCAAAAAATGTATTGGAGAATATAACTCAAAAGGCACAATCTACTCAACTCTCATGGCAACTAACAGAGGCGGACAATATCGTCAGCTTTGGTTGTGCTGCAATAAGTCCTGTGATTAAAGATCAAATGTTTTCATTGTTTGTTGAGGTTGAAATTATCTGTAAGTTGTGTGTAAATGTATAGGTTTTTTGTTGCCTAAGCAATATTTGAGCAAGTACTTTCCTATGGGTTGATAATACGTCATTAGTAAGGTTATTTTCCTGGATATTTTGATGTAAAGAATTGTGGAAATACTGTGTAAGACATACCCAGAGATGCTGCTTGGAAATAATATTGAAGTTAACTTCGATATAAATCACATTTCCAGTTGCTATGGACTTGCTTGTTCTGTCAAACTCTTTGAACTATGTACACTGATGAAAAAGACTATTGGAAATGCTGGAAATGTATTGTAGGAATTTCAGCTTAGGAAATCCAAATCTGTTTACCACTGGGCTTATGAAACTTTTGACCTTGACAAGTAGCTAAAACGCAGATACATTCCTAGCCTATATAAACTGTGCCATCTTGATAGAAATTGGCTTCAAAACTTGTGTTGAGACTGCGAATAACATTCATCGCTGCAGAAGTCAGTAATATTTTATAGAATAAAGCATAATAATATCTACATTCGGTGATTAATACATGTTGACTAAGTGTTTTTATGTTCCACAGTAGTTGTTTTTATGAAAATAGTGACAAGTTTGTACTAGTTCATACTATCGTCGCATATAAATCTGTATCATAATGAAAATGTTTACTTATCCGAAAATGAAGGGCGTCAGTATTGTAACTCAGTAGCCTATTGTTTGATGTCCGAGTAATTGTAGTTGTGGTAAATGGAACCGATATCGCCGAAGATTATGATGAACTGGAATTTAGACATATTCGTATGAGGAGTATATTCATATTCTCTGTAATACTGTGATTCGCTGGGTTAGGCAGTTACCTCTAACAGGCTTTATTTCTGCTTCGTGTACTGAAGTTTCGTGTAGTCCCAGCATTATAAATACCAAAGCAAAAGGTGTGGCCAGTTGTGTGATGTAAAAAACTGCAGTGTAGTCATGACAGAACCAGCTGAAGTAACTGATCCTCCATATAATGACCAATATCCCAAAAGATATCAAAAGATCATGGCATAACTTTAGAGCAATTATCATGAAAATTCAGAATTATTAGCACATATTAGTTCAATCATGAAAACTATTCCTTCAACAAATCATTTTCGGTAGATTTACAGTTGTATTTGCAGTAATAAAAGACAAAGAAATGAGTCTCTTATCAACCAATAGGTAAAAATTAGATCATCAAAAAGGAATTCCCCAGGGTGAAATAGTTAATTGCTGCTGGATTAAGAAAGAGGTTGCTGAATCACAGTGTGCTTTAGGAACGTATACAGTCGATCACGGTGATGACAAACAGACTAAACACAATAACAGTACTAATTATAATCAATAATCGCAGTAAGCTGTTACAGGAGGTTTAGTGGGGGTAGAGCAAACATGCGAAGATGTAGGGAAGTAAACCATAAGGTAAAAACAAAAAATAATCAGTCAACAAGAGTAAAATGAATATCTAAGAAGTTACGAAACTCAAAGAAGAATTGTGACTGTAGGCAAAATAAGGTAGTGGACGTACCATTTTCTATTCGGAGAGCTTGGGCTTTAGTCGTCAGATCGCCAATGCCTGTGCCCCATATAGGCAACAAATGTGTACTCCTTTGGAGGCGTTTGGCTTGACTTTGTTTGAGATTATGAAAGAAGCTATGGGGGCAGTAATATGACCAAAGTTGACTAAGTGGTCTATCATGCTTGATTTACCTTCTTCTGTGGAAAGTCAAGCAGTATAGCACTTGGAGATGCCTTAGGAAATATTGCGTTTCACATGGCATAAATAGCCAACTCGACAAGAGGAGGTGAACTAATATATATACATGAGTTTGACCAAACGTGGCAGTATGTTATTTGCACTTTCCTGATTCAATTATCGATGAAAGATCATTTGAATTTTGGTGGCACACGATATTTTTCTAGTTGCTTTAGAAAGATGATTCTAGAAAGGAGTACTTTGGTTCCCAAGCCAGGAAAATCAATGTGTCATACTTGAGGAATATAAGAATCGCTCTCCTACCTCTTAAAATTTGAAACTAACTTTCACCCATCTTCACGTTTGTGAATATTTCAGCACTCATTTCCAAGTTTTCAAGTTTAATAATTGTCCCTGAAGTCACATACATCACCAAAGTAGTTACAGTTAAATTATTCAATGACATATTTTGCGGTGGTGTAATATAACAGCTAAACTGAAGTAAAATCCAATCGCATACTGCTGGCTACTGAGTCCCTGTACCTACCCACTTCTCTAATACATACTATTATGTTGAGTCTCACTAAAATGATCAATACTACTTAGAACACCTTTATCCTGTTTTCCAAGTGGTATCTTATGTGAATTATAATAAAATTCAGAATAGGTCATTATATCAATGTAATGTAAGTGTTTTCCAGTCGTAGTAAATCGAAAAAAAGTTTGTTTCATTATCAGTTAATGACAAATAAGATAAATGGGTTTTATAACCATGCTTCGTTAACTCCCAGTTTTCAAGTCTATTCTGATCTCTTAATGATCAGTATCAGCTAGTGCTCGTTTATCTTATTCATTGTCAGCTAACCAAATCTTGTCTTCCATAATGTTCTTGTAAAAATATTCTTTAAGCGGCTGATAAACTGATAGGAATAAGTAATATTTAAGTAAAACATAATGTAAGACAAATCTTAAGCGGATTTCGATTAGCCAATTCATAGTATTATTTGAAGTAAATTTCTACCCTCAAGATATTTAGGACATGCAATTATCATTAATAACTAGCATTATTATTTTGTCATTTATCTTAAGTACACCGACAGTGTGAACAGAAATAAAACAATTTTCATTCTCTTGTTCAAAATGTCGACTGGGTAAGTCCAGTCATGTCAAAGTTATTTATGCAAAATTTTCAGTTAGCATTGAATGAAGAAACATCAATGGGTTTTTATTTTCTGTACAAGCCATTTCTTCTATTTAGTTGCTGGAAGAAAACATCCTGTTGTATTAAAACAGCGATCTTATAACTTACATTGAATACCGTTATTCTTACAGTCACAGTGCATACTTTCTAGAGTTGGACGATAGGGTGAAGACAAGTTATGAAGTTTATTTAGTGCTATTTTGTAACAAGTGCTCTTGCGTACGTCAATAAGCAGCTTGAGTAGTTTGAGAAACAAGTTAAATAATTTTGGGTCCTAAGATGGCTCGATTTTGAAGTTTGTGGGTTTCCCTAACGAGGTCATGTGTGCACACTGCTGAGGAGTCCATACTAGGACAAAACAGCTGTCGAGCGCCCCTAGGTTTCCAATGTTTCCCAACTGGTGTCAGTTCGTGATGAATATAAACCTGAAGACTAATAAGATTCTGACACAGTTGGATAGTTGTATTAATAGTTGTAAGTAATTGCCGATGCCACTTTAAAATGGGTTGTTTAAATCCTTTACATATATTTTAAAGTATTTTGTATCAAAACTGAAATGTCTTTTGAGATAAAAGGGGTTCTTTAAAAAATGTGATATAATAATGGTAGAAACCAACCTATTACTGAATGAAAACTTGGAGTAAGAAGAAAAGAACAATGGAAAAATTAGCAATAATAACTACAGTCAGTCATCAAATTGTTATCTTCTACTTATTCTAAGAACTGCCGATGATGTTTGCTAAAAATGAAGTCATTCAACATTACCTAGGGTTGAGTAACTTAAACAAGACAGTAAATAAAGGAAAAGTGTCATGTTTCATTCTGTAGGGAAGGCTGACAAACGTAACTGATAACGACAAAGTTGGGTTGGATTTATATGCTTTTAAAATGAACACTTGGACACTCCAGCAGAAGGATAATATCATGATGTAGGATAAATTTTGCATCAAAATTTCCGCTTTATAAATAAATCGATGCAATTTCAAGCTTGACTGACCTAGTTTACTTTCACTCAAACGTTTTTAAGTAATCTGAGAACGAAATATGTGTTTTTCCTCTTAAGAATCGAAACAATATTTGTTACCACTTTCGTATAGCTTCTTGTAATTGTTTTTTAAAAATTCCTTTGTTAAAGTTCCACCTGATCAACCTATACTATCTGCCGTACCTCATGGACCAGTTAGTGAGAATCGTACAAAAGTATTCACATGTCAGTCTTCTAAAGGGAGTAATCCAAGAGCTAAAATTTTATGGGAACTTACACCTGCTATGGAATATATAACTACAGCATCAAAAAGGGACTACATGAACTATACTAAACCAAGTGAAAAAGAAACAGTCATAAAGCCGGTGAAAAATTCTGATTTTGAAATGGAAATATCAGATATGCATTCAAATATTAAACGTGATTCGAACAACGGAGGCTACATTGCATTTAGTGAAGTACGCCTAATTGGAAGACCTTGGTTTAACGGTGCAAGAGTGTCATGTCATTTGGTATGGGGCAGTGAAGTGGATTACAGCGCTGTACATCAAAATATATATCATAAAACAGTCTATTTATCAGTTGAAGTCTTCTGTAAGTTTTATTCTATGCTTGTAACATACAATTTATTGTCTTTAGTACTTAGCCTCATCTTCAGTTTTCAAAATAATCATCAAGTGTTTCTATAAATGGCCAACTGGTATAGCAACACTTGTTTCCTAAATTATTTATTTTTACTACTTTCAGTCACGTAAAATTTAAGCTGGTTGAAACTTTTTTCCCCATTTAACAAGTTCATATATTTCCTTATTTGAGTTGTTTTATCGTATAAGGTGCAGTTTACTTCTGTAATCCTGGTGCAGTGTATTAGCACAAACAAAATAAACAACTACTTCGTATTGTTTTACAATGTTTTGATCTTGCTAGGAAGATCTCTTTCAAGTTTTGTTGGTCACTGACTCCAAAAGGGTTGCAAAATAAAATGAATTTACCCTATTTTACTCTGTTCATAAGTAAGTTGTAAACGTACACGTAACTTTGAGTAATAATAATGGCGTTAGTCGCTATATCCCAAACAGCATGTGTGATACATCATGGACTTTTCAGTAGGTATTATTTCAACAAATACGCCCCCACACAATATCCTTAAGAGAAATAATTTCATCTGAATAGTGTTAGTATCAACAGAATAAAAGGGATTAATGTAAAACGGGTCGCTGGTCTCCCATTAGCGTCTGGTCTGAACTTGAGGATGAATAGAAAGTCGAGTGTAACTATGGTGGTGGCGGTTTAATCACTCAGTACGAAAATCTGCAATCCGATATGGGTATTCTAGGAACAGTTTTGTGCTATATTTTTTAGGATTTAAATGTTCATTTCCCTCTAGCGTAACTCTTTTTCTTTGTTTCGTTCTCAGTTAGAGAAAAATAGTTCGTAAACATTTTGTAAATGTGCAAGAGTAGATGGTACATTTAGAAGATATGTTTCAAAGTTCAAAACACACAGAAAGGAAAGAATTTGATGAAATATGTTCTATGGAAAATGTTTTGGTAGCCCATGGTTTAAGCAGGCCCCCATTAGTAATAAACAATTCTTCCATCCGCTCTTGCTTCTAGAATACAGTCCACGATGTACATATCCAATGAATTGCTTCTGCATCCTGGTAGCCGCTTTTTACATTGGGTCGTTAGCATTAATCATGATTTAATCCCTAGAACCACTCTTATACTGCAGTTTTTACTGACTACAGTTAATACAATGTCAGCTGCTTGGTGTTCCAAAATAATCAAAATATATTTTAGTGGAGTTATATGCACAATTTTCTGTTCATGGTTTATGGTTATGTTAAAAACCAAACTTACTGATAACCAAGAAAATTGATGAATTCATCGTAACACATTATTCACATAATTTGTTGCAAAATTGCTTGAGTGAAAGTAACAGTTTGCTAAAGTTCAAGCAAACTAGTTGTCGATGAAGGTTAGTGAGTATGAATTTTAGGTTTGGAAGTTCCTCTAAATCGTAGTTAGTTATCAAGTACCTATTCATCACACATATCCAAAATACTTCACTCATGTGAGTTACCTAGGCATTCATTCATCAGTGCCAACATATTTTTGCATATATGATTCAGTTTTTTGGTATGTTATTGAGCATACTTCAGACTAGCATTATGTTCACATCAATTTAATATATTAGTTACAAACTCCTGAAAATGCATGAGTGTGTAAGAAATAATTAGGTTATTTCCTTTTCCTTACATTAAGTTTGCCCTTCAGCAGTCAATTTAATTACAATCCCACAAAATGGGATTCAAGAAATGTATGGTGAACAGATACTAGAATGTACTGCGACATCATCTCATCCCCCAGCAGTGCTCATATGGTTTTACCACAACTCTTCAGGAAGTGTTCAGAAGACCACAACAGAAAATGTAATCATGGAAGATTCGTTGATGAAAGTCGATGCACAACCGATGTCAAATCTAATAATTACAACGGAAACAGTAAGTTGGAGTTTTCTAAATACTATTTAACTCAAAGTGTAGAAACTGTATACCTTCGGGAGTCACAACACTTTTGTGTCAATAATAACCATACCATCCATCTAGTTGTCCAATCCGAGATATTTGGAGTCATCATTGAATTCTTGACCCAAAATAATGAAAGTTGAATTCTGAAACAAAATAATTACAGTTTTGATCATTCTTTTGCCCTGCTAATTCACTTAGGTAATGTTTAAATAGCTGTAAATGTATTTTAATTCTGAAGCTTCTATTTTATATTTATACGTGTTTGCAAACTTTAGTTTTGACCGCCTTATTTTTATAATTCAGTGGGAATCTGAAAGTAGTGGATAGCTTATTCGTTCTAGTAATTGCGTTTCTTGGCAGTGAGTTTTGCGACTGGAGCGTTCGGCTCTCAAAGCAAATAATTCACCGTTCAACATCCCGGTTAGAACACAATTTTTAATATTTTCTACTGTGATTAATTCACAGAGTGGTGCAATCAGTACTTAGTGCCGTCGCCAAATAGTTATCTTCATTCCCAATGTAGTTGACCCCACAACAACAAGTCATGATGTTTTATTAGAACTTGGGGAAATCTATCCTTGAACAAGTCACCAATGAACAGTGGGCAGTAGTTCAGCTGATGAAAGTTTGCGGTGAAGACCTGTCATTAAAATCACTTATTTCTTTTTATTTTAAAAGAATTTAAAAGAAATATGTAAAAAAAACTCACGTGTAAACCAAAACTGTATTAAAACATTTTACAGTTTTTCAGAGCCTTTTGATGACCAGGGCAGAAAGTAGTTTCTCTTTTAAAAAATATGTAAAACGATTAGTGCTTTTTGCCTAGTAATTATCAGAATCACGACCTCAAAATAGACTGGAAAGCAAAGGTGTTTAAGACTTGAACGCGCTTTTCATGACTTAAAATTTCGCTCTTTTAACTCCTGTGTAAAGAGAGGTTTGGCTATGGGATCAGATAGTGTAAATTCAGTTAGACTGAGTTAACAGCTGAAGGTTTTGTGTACGCAGTTTGCTATGATGGGATTTCATTCGCTCATGTTTTGTTCTCTAATATAGTGAGTAAGTAGTACCTTAATGCCTTATTTTCCAGTTATTTTTGATCTCATATCTACACAAATCAGTTAACATGAGTTTAAATCATAGTCTGTCGAATCGAAACGGTGAAAGAAAGATATTTTATTGACTTTAAGATCAAGTCACAATTATACTAAAGATTAACAGCAAAGCCATTCTACATAACAGTACGTCCTCGATACTTTCTAGCCGTAATAGAAATGCTGAAATTATTTAGAAGGAAGCCCCACTCAACCTAGGTTCTGTGCTTGTTATCAAGGAACTTCTGCAACCTCAACGTAAAAGATATCCCACCTAAGGTTTGAATCCACGCCACCCAATGCCACAGTAAGATACGTAACCAATAAGCTTTTCGTATCCCGACTTGTCTCCTGTAAGACTGGATTAGATACACTGGTTGGTTACTGGAGATCAAACAACCATCTGTTGTCTGGTCCTTAGTCCTGACAAAATTCTATCGACCAATTTGAAATGCGGCTACTAGGCTAGGAGGCTGACCATCACTAGGCATTTCGATGCATTTCGGTCGGTTGGGGATGCGTGCTGCAGTCAGGAACTTTATTATTTTCCTATATCGAAGTTCTCAAAATATTATGTGACAGTTTAACTGTACTCTTACAGAAATTCCACATCATGACATTACAGTTTCAACGTTAACTAGTATTATTTGTGGGGATTCCTAACAGACAATCCGTTTGCATGTCAAGTTAAATATCGATACCTGTGAAAAAATTTATTCACGAGATTTCCAGGTAACTCACGATCCCAAAATAAGTCTTCTGGATCACATTAATACACATTATTTCATATCAAGTAATAAATAACTATCTATCTTACGGGGATATTAGTGAACAGTATTTTGCGTAACCTGGTGATACCAAATTTATGGTAGAAGGTTATGAAGTTGTGAACCTGAAATCAGAACATGCAAACAGGACGTGAATTACGTGCAAATAACAGTGGTTATTCATAAAGCAAGTGAAAAGTTAAACAGCATTATTTTACCATAGAAAGAAAGACAGCTGTGTCGATATTGAAATTAGTCCCTTAAATCCTAATTGTAATTGAAAATCGTTTAAATTATCTTAGCGTAGTTCATATCTACAAGTAATATATGCGCATTACGAAAATCTATCGACTTTCTTCCAGTAAATAGGTGAATAATAATCAGACATGATCTTATGTCAGTTTAAGAGATTTGCATGTAATAAGGTGAATATGATATCCTGTGGTGTTAATAAAGTAAACATATATTTTCACTTATGTTAGCCTTGTAAACACTACAAATATCTTCATGTAAAAACAGAACTGAGTTTATGAAGAGAAAAGAAGTCATATTATTCATTGTAAACGTCAATTACAAATTTACATTGGTTTAGTTTCTTTGAAAATATTTTTTTGGATGCTCTTAAAAAGTTTTTTAAAAGATAAGTAGAAATAAAAGATCCGTTATTTTATTCTTACTGGAATCTCAGAATGTGTTCTAAACAAAAGTTGATTGTGCATTGAAAATTAGACACAGAGAAACTACAAAATAAGTGGATAAATGAAAAAAGAATTAATTTCACGTGTTTAATGTTGCTAAATAGTTTATGCTAGGGGTAAGTAGCCTATATTTCTTTTATGAATAACCAGGTTTTTAATCTTCTTCCAACTGATGTCAGTCCGTGATGAATACCTACCTGAAATTAATGAATTCCCACAAACCTCAAAATTGAATTATTTTAGTACTTACTAGCGGCTAGCCTCGACAGGTGATTCCCGAAGTTCTAATGAGAGGTCGTGACCAGTGGGGCGAACCAAGTGGAACATTAGGACAGTTACCCAGCGACAGCATTGAATGGAGGTCACGCTGTATAGTGAGGTGAGAGAAGTCGGAAACATAAACTACTGGACTCAGACTTAGTGGTTCAATAAAAAAGTGATGGCCATGAAACTTGAAGGTTCTGGATTCAATCTATGACAGGGTCATGAACGTGCATTGCTGAGGAGTCCCATACTAGGACGAAAAAGCTGTCTAGTGCTTCCAGGTTTTCACTGTTTTTCTAGCTTCCGTCAGTTTATGACGAATCCCAACATGAAATAAAAAATGGTTCCAGGTTATCGGTAATAGATGAAAGTAATTGTAGTTACATGGTTTATGGGGAATATAGGATATTGGATTCATGAGTTAATTAGGATCAATTCTCAACTAGTAATTATTCATCTTCAAAGTTCATTGTTGCTTAAACCCGCAGTAGAAGATAGAAAGTGTTGCAGGAAGTATATTCGTGCTTGATAATTTATCAAAATGTAAATTTTAAACCCTCTACAGAAAAAAACGATAACTAGGGCTACGTAAGCCATGTCTTCCAAACTGTCATGAATTATGAGGGAGAAGTTTGCTAGCAGCCTACGATTTTGTCAAAACAAGCGAAATTGATGTTCATCTATTCCGGTAACTGTCTTCAACACACATGCATTTGAAAATCTTGCCGATAAAAAGAGAATTCTCCACAGACTCCAAAATCCACCACACTGCCCATGGTTCTATGTAAAAGCATAACGCTAGCATATGCGTTCAACTAGTAATGCGTAACCCTTTAAAATCCCAAAAAGAATGTAAGATTGGATGAAATGTAATTCAATTTTGATTGACTAATTGGACATATTGCACAGTTAAACAGTATCATTCGTTGAATTAATTCTTTGATTACGTCTCTACAGTCATTTGAAGGTAATTTCGCAAATCTGACACGTGGTTTAGACAGTTCTTATTTCCTCTCCGCCTTCGCTATATTGGTAGTAGAACTTCCCATCTATCTGCAACGGGTGCTGTGTCGTTTTGTTGCAGGTATTTGAAATTGCTTCGGTAATTCAGCTTTAGGGAATAGCAGTCTATGTAATCCTACTTTTGGTTGCGTGTAATTGCACGGATAAGTATAGTTGAGCTTTTCTCTAGATGTCCTTTATTACTACACTTTACTAATCTTGAGTTAATTTACTTTTTGTACGCGGGTAGGAAAACTGAACCTGGTCGACCACTTTGGTCTACATATTTCAATTCACATTTATTGAAATGGATTTGATGGACTAAATTATTTTGCCTAATTCGATTAATGAGAAATTTTAATCTATAATGTTTGTTTCTGAGTGAGTTTATGGACTCAAATGCCACTTTAATCCCAGCCTTATTTAGAATTCTTCGTGATGTTGTTGGGAGACTTTCATTGTATGGAAACATAATAGAGTCGTCTACTTCTCTCATCTCGGTTTCATTATTTTTACTGTACTAACGACTTTGCTTACAATACTGTTCACATTTATGTTGCAATTCTTAATGAATTAGCCAATAAGTTCAAAAGGATAACCATTGACGAGTAAGGTGCCTTCAATGTATCTGATTTCTTATCTTCAATCTCCTGTCTTACCAGGGAAATTTTCAGCTCTCTTACCCATACTTTTAAAAAGCCTACGTCAAATGATGCAGTATAGGCTGACTTGAAGTTGGAATAACGTTTCGAATGTAAAGATTGTGAAATTGAAAAGTAATAAGATACAGTTATGCACTACTAGGGTGTCCAAAGTCCACTCTTACACTAACAAAGGAGTTTACTTAGTTATTTCAGTAGCCAATACGGTGAGTCTGGGAGTAACTTCAAATACATGTTTGCATTTCTTATAGCCACCAAGAGTGAAGTAGCTTTGGTTTGGTTAAATAATAGTAGAGAGGTGTTTCAAGGTGAAATGAAAACCTGAATCTTGATAGTAGTTAGACCAACGATCTGCGGATTACCATCTAAGCTACTGGGCCAAGCAACTAACCAGGAGTTCACTTCACGTATTTTGATACCAATAAATCACTCACATTACAAGTTATGCTTTCTGTGCACCGTGTGGCTAAGAACAAAACTGAATTCAGTGCTGGGCTGCCATCTAATTAGATTCTGTTTCATGCAAGTCAGTTTTGTGGAAAACAAAAGCTTTAAAACAACTGAGGGAAACAAAAGTCGTTTTCTTGTTTAGTGGATAAAGGCTTCAATAGCATACTTTTGTGTTCTGTAGTTCACATGGTTTAAAAACTGTGATTAATTAATTCACGTTTTGATACTTTTAGAGACTGAGGAACATTGTTAACCTACTATTAGTCGTCCGGGTTTTTATACGAATATTAGCTAGTATTACGCACCTGATACTAACGTTTCAAAAAAAATGCTGTTAAGAATGATTTAGAATTTCACATCTACGTTGTTTACTAACCATCTAGAATGCTTTTAATCAATCAGGTGAAGTTTTTGATAGAATCCACTTCAAAGTAAACAAAAGCTGAAGCAGATATGCATTTTCCTTAATATTTGTTTACGCAGTTTGACTTTCAGGGCATTTTATTCATATTAGTTTTAAATACAAATCGACGTGGCTGACAGACTTGGAATTCTTTTACAAACATATTTCATACCTAACATTGTGAAAAATTAGTTTATGTCAAATTTATTCCCATAGATATGCTACTTAGCGTATTACTCAGACTACCTATTTACGTTTATAAATTCTCATGGCACATAGAGAAAAAAATTAGAACCTTCCAGTTCTACTCAAGAATTGGGGTTATAAATAACCCAATCTGGAAGTGCACATTATTCTCTGATATAAGTCCTTATAGCATTGTGTAATTTGCTGACACAGTGGCATGGTTCCAGTATATGCACAGATAATTAGGTGGATATATAGTTCTGATAAATAAGTACCATATTTGTAGAGAACTGTCTCGCACATTTCATTGGTTCCCGACATCAAACATTACTTAGGTGTTACCAACGGTTTTATACGAGTTCTAACAAAAAGTCTGCAACCCTTTAGGTGAGAGGTAACGTTTCATGGAAATTTACCACTGCAGAGGTCTGTCAGTATTAGCATAGACGTATAGATTAAATTAAACTCACAGTTTCATTATAGGCTGAAACAGTTTAGTAAGTACAGAATATTCTTTTCAGTAACTTAGATTCTGTAATTATATGGGTCGCTATCTGTTAGTAGAGGCGTAAATACATTTAACGACAATAAAATTTTTTATGGCAGTCAGCCATTAGTGGAGGATCATGTCATTTCTTGTAGTTGATAAGTTTGGATTGAATCGATCAGTCTCTGTTGGGGTTTGAGCTACTGTAAGGATGCCTAGAAATGATTGACATTTTTCTCTTCTGTATATTAGGTGGACAGTGGTCAGCAGTGCAAAGAAGAATATCCATTTCGTCTTACTCAAGCCTTGTCAGCTGAATTTACTTGCATCCCGGTTAGTACCGGTATTCCCGATTAGACCTGAATGCAGAGTCCATCGCTGAAGACACCGAAGTGTTATCTATTGGAATAATGAGTTGAGATAGCCACTCCTTTGATATTCAGACATTTTGACATCTCGCTGTTGATTGGTTTGGAGTGAAAAGTTGAAGTAATATCAGACAGTTCAGAATACTTGTCATAAAACCTTAGATAACTATGTCAGAATCAAGTATTACTGGAAATCAGTTAAAAATAATTATGAAAGCGGTGTTATGTCTCATATAACAACAACAGACGGTTAATATTAGTTGTTTCAAGTAGGTTGTCTTCAAAGTAAATGATTCTTCACGATGGTTGGCCGAAAGATGGCGTTATCAAACAGAATATTCTTTATTCATTAAACAGTGGTGTAGATCCAAGTTACTGGCTATCTCTTTTGCTGAAATATTAGTTGTGAAGAATGAACAAGGAGACATAAACGGGTTCGATGTACTTTTTTTACAGCAGATGATTAAACACAGAATCATTCATAAAAGATGTCAGTTTGATAGCAAAGTCAAATGAAAGTCAAATGGAATCGCTGTATCTCACAAGCCCATGAAATCCCTTCACTCGGTTATGACAGCCAAAAGACCAAGTAAACATTATTTACAAAGTAAACTGCTAAGACTACGATAACACTACATCGGACAAAGTGGCAGCCCTCTTTGTATATCCATCCACATGAACATCAACTAGCAGTGAAGTTTCATGACATATATTCACTGATATCGATGCATACGGACAGCTGTGTACATGAATTTAACTGGAAAAATGTAAAAAAATCCTGCATAATGTAAAAGTATAGAATGTCAAAGGATTTTTAGAGGCTTGATTTTCAGGTCAGTCACCAATCAGCAGACATACTGGCATTGGTCCAACCCACCAACTGATATGAAAAAAAAGGAGGTCAAATTTATAGTCACCTGGAAAATCAATCGAAATAAATATGGAAACTGACAAGACCTTGGCAGAATCACTAAGTCACAAAGGACCATCGGACCATCAGAGAAATTCTTATAGCTTTGTTCTTTCTGAAGTCCGTGGTGATGACGTTGTCTAAAATGACCATGAAAGCTTCACAAATTATCCATCCAGCTCATAGAACACAACATCATCAAAAGCATCCCTATCAGTTAGTCGTTCAGATTGTGCTGAACACAAGATTTATATTAGTGAGGTTTCCCTAAAGCTAGAGTATGAAACAACGTTACTTGTTATTTTAAAATTCACACCGTTGTTCCACAAAAGTAAGATTGAATCAAGGTCTTTCAGGGTATTCTGAGGGTCACATTTTGTATTCGTGTATTTTTAATATTTATGTCCTGTTACTGCTACTGCTAAGCATTACGCTCGATAATAAATTCACTGATTACTAAAAAATGAAGAGTTCAAGTTGATATTTCTAATCCCTAGTCATGATGTTGAAATGGTTTCCATTCAAATTCGGCCAAGACAGGAGATTATATTCTCTGACAGTATTATGAATTAAAGACTTATACTAGTAAACAATATTAATTGTAAGACTTAACTGAAACCCTTCTAAATTTAGTTCAGTCGACTAAATTGCTGACTAGTTGTATTCTAAGTGAGTAAGGCTGCTGTCTGACACACAGGCCAGTACACTGAATTATTAATCAGTAGTACATATTAAGGATGTACTCATCGGTTTTTGGGGATAGGTATTTTGTAAAACATACCTACTACTCACATAGCTGAAGTCGGCAGAATAACGTTGGAAATTGCTAATATTTACCGCTTATCCAATGAATGATAAATTTAAGTCATTTTATTGCATGTAAATGGTAAGGATGAACTAGTGCGACTGAGATGTATAGTAAAATCCAGGCTTCAGCTGTCGAAATGCACATTGCATCTATGACAAATAATTTTATTGACAGTGAACGGGAAGAACATTATATGAAATATCTTACAAGTATTATTCCAAATACCCACCGTATATCACACTTTATAAAACTCCTCTATTTCACATTATTCAAGTTGAGATCTCAAAATTTACCACATCATTTCGGTATTTCTACTCAGTTGAAAGAACTTTCTTTTGGAAAATATTTTCTAAATAGCTTTTTAAAAGTTTTTGAAATGTTTATTTTATAGTTCCCAGGAATCTATGGTGGGAAACGTGTGGTTAGCCGGTTGAAATTACATAACATTTCCAGAAATTATGATGGTATGCTTTACGTGTGTGTGGTCAAACACATTGAATGGACAGAATCAATTAGTCGAGCGTATCAGTTAACGGTGTTATGTAAGTTTTAATGGTTAAATGTTTTAAGACCTACATCTAGGTTTATTGCATGATCATACTGTTCCTTAAAATATGGTTTTGAAATGTTATGTATTTAATAACATGTTAACTATTGGTAAAGTCGGAGGGGATATTTACAGCTAGAGAACTGCAACGTTTAGTTTTGTACGTTTTTGCGTCTGTCTTATAGGTCCTCAAATAGCGAGTTGCATAGGGTTAACATCAGTTAATATTTGATTGTTTGTTTCGGCAGGTCAATTTTAATCACCATACTATAAAATTACGTAATGAAAAAGAAATGTCTTACTTTTGCTATGAAAGTGTATTTTTTCGAATGAAGCACGATAAACTGAATTTCTTCATTCGGAAATTTCTTCCAAAACACCACTGAGGAATTAACTCCATCTGTTCACCATAAAGACGAGGAAAAAGAAAATTATTGTTCCGAACAGATAGGAATTATTCATTTTTGAACACTCACTTTACCGTAAAGGAATGCTAATGATAGTATAAAAAGTTTGAATAATACTCATTAACTCGACAAAATAAATAGTATTCAAGACAGTCTGTTCACTTTCTCTTGAAATATGCGAACCAGTTGCCAAGATTATTATTATAAGTCTATGAAGTCTCAATAAATATTCACAGAACACAACGTATAAGACCCTGACTTAATAGAAGAACAAGTGTGTTTACGATTTATTCTTGTTTGATTCCACATGGTAACAAGGGTAATTTATTTTGACCAGTATAAGTAAGTGTTTGTTTTTGTTAACCTTTAATACTGATTACAGTACGAAACTAATCCATTTGCTGAAGCTTCATGGAGATTGAGTTTCTTTTAAAAGCATCAAGCATTTCTAAGTCCCTTCTAAAGTGTAAGTTATTGTGATACAACAGCTTTGAACCGCTGATAAGGCTGTGTGTACGTTAGGTTGTCAGATGTTTAATGTGTTTCACCAGTGGATACAACGTACAGCTGTATCTAGTAAATCACTCTAATTACTGTTTTATAGAGTGAATAAATCATTGAACGCAGAATAAAATGACAAAAACAGCATTCAGCTGGCTTAACTGTTCTAACTGCTACATTCCAAAACATCGGTAGCTAAAGGAAAATTCATGAAGTTTTCAACTGTTTATACTTCATAAATGCAAAAAATTTTTTAAGACTATGACTATACAACAAAGACATGATGGGCAGTATTTATATCTGAAGAGGATGATTTTGATAGTATTGTGTTCTCTGAACTGGATGGTTTAGTTGTGAAGCTTCCACTAACATTCTGGATAATATCATCAGCACAAATTAAGAAAGAAGTGAGCAATGAGGTTTTCTTCACAAGTAGCTTACTAGCTTGTGATGATATCCTTGTATGTGATTAGTTGGTTCTGTCAAAGTATTGTGTGTCCGTACTTATTTTGATTGGCTGTGCTACTGACGACCTTCTTGTTGTTTCTCAGTGGTTGGTATGTTGACGTTGACCCAATATATCAACCAGTGAGAAACAACAAGAAGGTCATAGTTCACATCAACAGGACAACCAATCAAAAGAAATATGGAGACAATGACCAGAACTTGGGTGAATCGACCAGTCGCACACAAAGGCATCATCACAACTTGCTACGCCACTTGTTGAGAAAACCTCACAGTTGAAACATCCGGTTCAGAGAACACAACGCTATTAAAAATAAGGACAACTGAGAAAGGTATCTGTCCACTAAAAATTATTAATGATTAGGATTACTGCAATGATATGATTTGTTTGTAAATGAAGTTTTGCTACTTCATTACGTATATAAAGTTTGTGGTGTATTCATTTGAAAGATTAGGTTTATGCTAATCAAAGAAGAATATATTATCAATTGACTAGTTAGAGAATCCTGATGAAGTTGAAAAATATCTTTACCTCATCTTCTTGTTACATTAGCAATGAGCGGAGCTGGTTGGTATAAAGGTGATCATTTTTTTCCATTCAGAAACAGTTTACTAGCTTCATCTCACATTTTGGCTTGCTTAGCCATGTAGTTTATTGAACTACTGACTTTCTAGTTGATGAAGATACTTACAGGCGATGAAGTTTGCAATCTTTTAAAATTTGACTATTCAGTGTAGTGTTTTCTTCATGGACTGAAACCATTTGGAGAATCGTTGAAAATCTGTGAGCTGTGAGCATCTGTTTCGTCCAGTGTGCACTTATGACCATCAGGTTTCACGACGAGCATGTTACAATTGAACCTTTGGGTTAGAATCTGATGGTCCATGTGTTCCTGCTTCTGCCAACTGACGGGATAATACAACCATGATGAAGTGATATCGGGATTTATTTGTACTTACATCTGACTTGGACGACTTCATAGGTCGTGGTTTCTCATTGCCTCAAAACCAATTAATCCTCACAAACGATCGGTTGAAAGATCATCTAATGCTCATGATTATGTGCCTCAGGATCGATTTCCTGAAGTTCCAATGCAATCCCGTGACCTGTGCAGTCAACCATGTTAGCTGGGAGGACAAAAGCCTAACTAATGCGTTGAATTATGATTACGACATTTCATGTATTGCCAGAAGTAGGAGGATGTGCATAGTTGAATTCCTAACCAGAAGGTTAAATGTAAAGGGTGGTAGGCTCGATTTGATGCACGGTCATGGATTTACACTGCTCAGGAGTCACAAACTGATATGGAACAGAGATAACTGTCTCAACTCTTGGTTTTCTCAGTGATTTTCCAAATGAGGTCAGTTATTGATGAATATTACATTGGAACCGGCCAATCAACATAGATCACTTGTGCCACCTGAGATGTAAGCTGGTTGTAAGTGTTTCCAGCTTAAAAAAATATTCACAGTGCAGTTAGTGAATCACAGACGAACAACATCAGAAAAACATCACACTAATTATCAATATTGTTTTAGATTAAGATATTTTCTGATTAAAATTATGAAGAAAATATCCTTTGATGCCGAATATAATTTGAGAATTAGCTACTTTAAAATGTATGTTATTTTGATCATGTATAGTTGTATTAAGTAGCTTTACGGGTGAAATCTAGTCAATAAATAATAGTTTTTTATGTTTAATAACTGCTTTTTTCTTGATTTGTTTTAAAACTGTTTTTATGCTGCTTCACTTGAAATGATGAACTGTCATACTTCTTAAGTTGGATATATGATCAAAGTCAGTATAGGATATTATGATAACCGTAGTAGTTAATTATCTAGAAGTTTGCTTTCAGAGAAATATTCATTGAAATGTTGACTAAATTCGGTCATTGAAGTTTACTGAAATCTGGAGTTATTTTGTTGTTTAAAAAACGATAGCACACAATCTTGTAAAAAATGATGCATGAATAACTCTGAAAAAGAGCTGCAGGGTTGAAATTGAAATGAAATACCCTGAGATCACTGATTAGGACATTCACATTATGGTATAGGTGCTTCAATAGTTGTCTTAGTGAGACTACGTTATTCGCTGTGAGTGTTTTCGCCCCTCTAAAGGTATTGATTTTCCTGCATGGTTACCTAAAGTTTTATTAATTTGAAAGACAACTCAAAAGGATAATAAAAGTCCTAAATCAGTGGATACATATGAAAAAAATGTGATGCATATAATACTCATAAACATTCAAACAATAGTTACCAAGTATGTCCTACAAGAAGCTGGTCACTGAGTCTGATTTCCTCATTGTAAGAGTAAGCTTTAAAATAATCTCATCACTCTTAGATAATCGAAACAAGAATTTTCTGAAATGTTCCTTTTGTAAGCTATAGTTTCTTTAGCAGAATTTCAGAGTTTGTATTTTTCATGTAATATAAGACATCTGAATATTCTGCTGAAGAAGCCGTGGCTTACAAAGTGAAAATTTAAGAGGAACCTTGTTTTGATTTTCTAAAAATGGTGAGACTGTGAGATTTAAATGTACTGCCAGAATATTTTACTACTTATTCTGAAAATTCACTGGTGTTTCAATATAGTTGTCCATAGTTTCTGTGAAAATTCTAACCTTTGGGATGACATACACAAAATGCGGATGAGTGAGTTAATTCATAAATGTCTCGGAATAAATCCACCATAATAAACAACTGTATTCAGGATGGTTTTAAAAAAATTCATGTTTAACACTTACGCAGAATATCATTTTAATTTTTGTGACAACTCGTTCATTTATCATAGTGAAATGATCAGAATGTTAATTTCATGACAAACACGCAAACTGTTAAATAATCATTAATCAACAAATCGAAAAAAATAATAGGTTAAAGATTTAATAACACCTAATACCGTATTGTCAATGCATAGTGACTCACACCTTCAGTTATTCGTCTCACACGTTCAAGTATATATATATATATATTTATATATATATATATATATAAAAGTATACATGAAATCGTAATACTAATCAGTTTGTCAAAAGTCACATTGTCACAACTGCGCTTTAGTAACACAATAACCAGGGTATATAATTAGATGACATTGAAATCCATTCGATAAGACGGTGGGGATACATAAAATGGGTCAAATTCATCTTGTTATAAATCTGTTACTCCTATAACTTATATTAGGTTAGAAAATTAGAATATCTTATAATGAATAAGTAAATAAATAATAGTTTCTTTATTCCAAACATGTAGGATACAGAATGGGATTTTCAGTATGGAATGTTTCAACGAATTCACTTTTCCTACAATATTTTTAAAGGAAATAATTATTACTCATAATGTTAATAATAATAGTATTAACTGTAAAAATGTGAAACGCGAAGCTGGTATTACATTAAAATCTGGTCTTGAATCTGAAATGAACACAAAAACGAATGTAGCAGTTCAGTCAGCAAGTACAGAAATTCACAGTCCCATTCAAGTATCCTAGGAATAGTAATGTGCTGCATCTTTGAGCATTTACGAATCCATTTCCAATCGGTGTAACGTTCTTCTTTTGTTTTGTTCTTAGCCTGAGGAATGAAAGTTCGAAAGCAGTTTAAAAACGTCCGAGAGTGTATGACACGCTGAGAAGACATTTAAAAGATTAAAACAAAATGAAAAGGAAGCATCTGATGGAATGTATTCCGTGGAGAATTTTTTGGCGGGTCGCCTTAATTTAAAAAATAAGCTATGTCCATTAAGTAGATTGGTTGTTAGTATAAATTATTGGAGAGCATTATTATTGGTTTTTAGACATTATTTACCATTACCTAATATATTAATTTAAGGTGATAGGAATTACCGTAAACATTCTCTGACGGTATTTCGAAAAGTAGTGATTTCAGCTTGACGTGAGCTCACCGTCAGGAAAGTTCCATTTTTTTCTTCAATGAAAATGAATCTGCATTATTATTAGAATGTTTTTACCAAACATAAATCACTAAAATTGTTCAGTACTGACATCAAAGCTGTTAGGACAACTCGATTCACGAAGTAAGTGAAAGGCGCTATTTTGAAAAGCACTGTGAATTCATTTGTGCGCTGACCACTTTTAATAAACTTACACTGCAACTAACTCGTGTCCCAAAACGTGTGGTGCAGCACTTAACTTAGTTAAAGATGAGACAGAAAAAAATAAGTTTCTAGTTACGCAGGAGGTTTGAGTAAAACTAGTGATTTTGCATACACTACAGCATTTTAACAATATCAAAATCTAGTTTCTTATTGTGGCTTCATGTTGCCTATGGAGTCAGGAAGATGAGTTTATAACACTGTTGAAGGTCGAAGAACTTACCATATCAGAATGTATCGCCTATTTATCGTTTTTAAGCAAAGTAAATTATTTCTGTTGCAGATGAATCATGAACTGAATAACTTGATAATAACATTCTGAAGTTAAATAATGTAAGCTGAAGTCGTGTGAGTAATGTTTTACTAGTTGGTGAATGCAAGTTCTAGACATATGTCCAAGACATTTTATCAATTGACTCCTGACATCTAGCCGAAAAGAGAGTGCAGTGTAGTGGTCTTCAGGTTGGTGTTCATCACAGATTGATATCAGTTGGAGAATTATTGAAAATCTGAGAGCATTGCATTTATGTTTTGCTCTAGTATGGGACTCTTCAGCAGTGTGCACCCACAACCCCAAAAGGAATCAAACCCAGTACCTCCGGGTTACGCGGCTGGCACGTTACCATTGAGCCACTGGGTCCAGTGCTCATTAGTGATTTGCTTTGAGATAAGATTCACGAAGTTCTAGTCCAAAGTCGTAACCGGTGTGGAAAATCAAGTTGTGCGTGAAGATAGCTAGTCAGCTACAGCGTTAGGCGGAGGTAGTGCTATATCACAAACCGGATGAAGTAGAAAAATCTGAACCACTGGGTTCTGACTCACTGAAGTAACGGTGGCCTGCTGGCCTCAGAATTTAAAGGTCCTGAGTTTGATCCCTGATGGGGTCATGGGTATGTTCTGTTGAAGAATTCCACACTAAGACGTAGCCGCTATTCAGTGGTCCCAGGTTTTCAATGGTTCTCCACCTGTTGTCAGTTCAGTATGAATGCCGAATTGAAATCAATAAATAAATCGCCACAAAGCTTCAGAGTGAATTAGAGGTCTTCAATCGGAGCCAAGGACCTAATAGTAACAGTGAAGATAAATCAGTGGCAATTTTGTAAATTGCTAATTCATCAGAATTTTATATTTGAATGACACAGCTAAACGGTATTTGCAAAATAAACTGATATCATTCTTTTCGACCAACTGCATACAACCTACAGAAATTGTATATGATCACTACATATATGCACACAGAAATGTAATATCTGGCGATATTAGTTCAAGTGTTCAAGAGGTAGGAGGAAAAAGAAAGTAAAATAGGTCTCATAACTATTAATTTAGTCAAATTTTACCCACATTCATAATCAAAGGTATGATTGTTCTGGAATGGTTGAGATAAATTTAGACGCCTTATTATATGGAAAGCTAAATATATTAAGTCAAAAATAACGACGAATATCCACCTGAAACTGAAGCGAGTTAAAAACGGAGGGGGAAATGAGTTTGATTAGATTTGAAAGAGACAGCGAATTTTTATAAAGAAAAAGTAATTCACTATTTAGTTAGCGGTAGGCTGACCACCATTTGTTTTTGAACACAGGTTAAGCTGCATTTCTTTGATGGCTATAGCTTCAGTAAACCACAATGTACTGGAGGTATTCTGTCTGCTGACGGTCATCAAGCCTACTGATGTGCTAAACGCCTGTCCTGTCTAAGCGTATGCTGGGTTATTGCACTGGTGAAACAACCATAACACTTCAGGCTCAACTTTTATGGTATATACTCAAGAATTCTGGTGGATAACCAACTGTCTTTTCGTTCTTCTGACATACCTGGTGCCAAAAGTATATGTAAATTTTTTAAACACAGTTTTAGTAGGAGTTCCTGTCTTGTCCACTTTTGACTCAGGAGTTGAGCATGTTATCTGATACAGTGACACTAGCTCTGTGGTTGGGTATATATATATATATATATATATATATATATATATATATATATATATGTATATATATATATATATATGATAGTGCCTATAAAATATCAAGATTTAATAACGCATTTAGCATTTAAGAAAACTTTTCTCAGACATTAATAAAGAAACCAACTTTAATAACAATAAAGTAATGAACGCGTGGGTCATACAGTTTCAAAAGTGCTATGAGTTAATCACAGGCAAATGTTAATAGTTTTTAATGTTCACAGTTGTTCCTTTCATAAGCTATTCATGCAAACAAATGCATTCATTGCCTTTTTGATAATGGATACCGCATGTAAAGCACTACTGTTTAATATTTAACAATTAACTGATAGTAATTTATCTCTTTCATCATCAGTTCACATTTGACTGCCGATTTAGACAAATTCGGAATGTGTAAAAAGTACTGAACCTTGTCAAGTAGTAAAAACTTTGTCACTGAATTTAAGCTGATTTTTCACAAAGATGAGCTATAAAGGGAAATTTTGATTAAATTAAAGTACTTTTCACACACTGGGTTAAAAGCGTATGGTTACAATCACTCAAAAAAATGTCGAAAAGAAAAACTAGCAGTTTAAAAAAATAAATGAAATATAACTGGTAAGGTTATTCATTCAAAATTTAGTTTCCATAGATGTTCTGCACAGAAAGATATTGTTGTTCAGTTTATTGAAATTTAAGTACATTTTTATTCTCTTCGTACTCAAAGTGTTATAGTCTCTAGCTTCAGGGACTTCACTGATATTATGTTTTGCCTTTAAATCCTGTGACAATAATTATTTTGCTTTATTTTTCTATCTAACCTCGATTAATTGTAGATCCACCAGAGTTGAAAGTGACTATTATGCCACAGACATGGCAGGAACGTTTGAAATCTAGTCAGACAACTCTTGTATGTACAGTAGAAGGTGGTCAACCAAGATATTTTGAAGGTGAGAATGAAGTCTTAAATATGGCAGGTTATGGGAATATGATTTCTGGAAACAATGGGAGTATTTTTGCCTTAAATCATGCGCTTCATGACGATAAGCACAGTACTTGGAAATTCTACTGGAAATTCCGTCCAAATTACCCAGATAATTGGATGCAGAACAGGAATCAGGAAGTATTAGTTAATAACTTAAATAACTCAAATAAATTAATCCTTGAACATCCTGGGAGAAAAGAAGCTGGTGAATATACATGTTTACTTGAAGGTCCAGCTGGAATAGCGCAAGTGACAAGGCACTTAGAATTTGCATGTAAGTTGATGTTAAGATTATCAAGTGAATATAGTTTAGCTTGGTTCATTGTACGTATTTAACGGTCAACGCTAATTGTAACAACAGAATTTCTGAGATTGTATTTTTCATTGAAGAGCATATAATCACTGATTCTTTGTTACTTCTGAAATACACTAAACCGGAACTTTATTTGTACAAGTGCTTTCTTTAGATGACAAGAAATTCCCTTCGGAAATATCTGTACGCTGCAAAACAATCAACAAATCATTTTCACGGTAGTACGTTGTAAAACGATCTTAATTATAAGTTGGGAGTCAATTAATTGAACCATAACTGGCAACAAAGCTGAATCATAAACATGAAAAATTTTATTTTCGCTTTGAAACAAAAAATATTCCAACAATACACTGAGAAGATATGATTTATCTGAAAAATTTCGAACAATCTGATCTCAAGCTTATTATGCATATTCAGGTGAAATGTAAATAAGAAGAAATGAGAGGAAAGAAAATAGTTGACTTAATAAAGAGTCAAACTGTTTGATTAGTGACTAAATCACAGAAAGATAAAGATAATGGATAAATCACTAGTGATATGAAAGCCGAGTTGCCAAAAAGTTTTTTTGAAAAAAATAAAACAGATCTTGACTTACTTTTAGCCAAAGGTTCAATAAACTTAAGTATGCATCACCACTAAGTTTTGTAAATAGTTTTGAAAGACGTCTGCCAAGCATCTTCATGACCCATTTCAGGAATATCTTCCTCAAGATGAAGTTGAACATATGTTGTCAGAGTAAATGTTTATCTTGTCCAATCCACTTTACTAACTGTAAATTTATTTTTAGTTTATTGTGAAACTCTTGAGTTGGTCACAGCTAGCGCTTGGAGTTGGTTTGAAATAAAGATGACTTAGTACTAGTTTTTGGCCTTACTATTATTATTTGTCCCTTGGGTTCCTAGTGGAACATAGGGCTTCAGTAGCTCATCACTATTTCACCTTCTGGCGCCACGACTACCCACAAGCTTTCATCTCTTCCTTACAACATCTCCTCCGTGTCACGCTCGGATGTCCAACTCTTTGTTTCCCATTTGGATTCCACTCGACGGCCTGGTGCGTGACGTCCCCAAACCGTCTTCTCAGTGTATGCCCAATCCAATCCACCTCCACTTTCTTCTGAATATTTGTTGGGCAATGGTTCATGGTTGGTTTGTTACCAGGCCCGAGTTCCTTGTTGCTTATTCCCTCTCGCCTTCCACTCTGATCTTCAGTAACGAGTGAGTGAGAGTAGGTGGCGGCTGTTGATGAATGTCAATAGTTTGTTGGAAATGCTTTCCATAACATGCAAAGTCTCTCAACCTCGCACTAAAGCACTGACACGACTGACATCAGTGTTGAAAATCCTCATCTTGTTCACACTTTATGCTGAGTGCAGTCGATCTCCACGCTGGGTTCAGATTAATGAAGGCCTGTCTTGCTTTTCCGATCCTGGTTTCGACATTCTCATCTTTCCCTGTGTCGCCTGTAGTTGAAACGATACTACTTAGATAGGTAGGTGAAAGAGACTACTTCCTTTGGTTTTCTCCCGTTGACGGTGACTGATGCTTGTTGTTCATGCTGTTATTGGTTGGGTATCTTCATCAACTCTGTCTTCTCTAAGTTCACTTGAAGTCCTGTCTTCGCTGCCGCTTCTGTTAACTTGCTGGTTTTCAACTGTAGATCTTCGAGTTTGTGTCACGAGACATTGGACATAAATCATTGTTGGCGAAATCCAACTCTTCTGGGGTCTTTTCATCGGTCCAGCCAGCGTATGCCCATCTTCTTGCTCCTCACTGTTTGCTGCATGATCCAATCCAAAACAATCAGAGAGATCATCGGTGACAGCAGGCAGCCTTGTCTTACTCCTATCCAAACTTCAAAGGCGTCACTCAGCTTTCCATTGTCAATCACTTGGCATGCGGCGTCGTCATATAGCTGTTGAATGAGGCTGATAAGTGTTTGTGGCATTAAAACCGTAGCGTTGAAGCAGCTGCCTAATAACTTCTCAGTCGACGCTGTCCAAGAACTTTTCAAAGTCGATGAAGTTGAGGTAGAGATCCAGTTAAGGGAAATTCTGTGCTCTATTCTATGATGGTGCGTAGTGTCGCAATTTGATCCGCACATGAATTGTTTTTCCTGAAGCCAACCAGTCTGTTCCGGTCGTAATTCTGAACCCTGCGCATCTTTTGGTCTATCCAGGATGATGTGGCATAATATTTTGCTTGAGGTGGTCAAAAATTGGGGCACGATTCCGTGCCAGTTGTTGCAAAGACTTAGGATGACCTTCTTCGGGGAGTTTAACAAGATATCCCTCTTTCCTAAAAACAGACAGGTAGGTATCTTTCTTTCCTTCCGAACTATTTGCAGTAGTGGGGTGAGCATGTTCGTAGCTGATGTCTATGCATCTGTTTTCAGTAATTCTGGTGGAATTCCATCTGGTCCTGCTGCTCTCCTGGATTTTAATAACTTCATGGTGTTTAGGACTTCTCTTTTTGTCGGAGGGCTTGTGTACTTCAGTATTTCTGTGGCAGGGCCGCTGGAGGTATTTCTGGAGGAGTTTTATGTGGTAGTGGTGGCCGATTTAAAAGTTTTTTGAAGTGGTCCAGCATAGTGTTTTACAGGTTGTATTCAGTTCCTCTTATCGTTGCGCATCCTTGCACTGATTCATTTTCTGCTTCACCATCTTCTTCTCCTTGCTCTATCAGCTTCCATGTGTCCATCGAGATCCATTCCTTATCTTCGTTTTTCCTCCTTCCTAATACGGTTGTGCAGGTTTCCTTCCACATAGCGTTCAGAGAGTTCCGGTGCTCTTCCACACAGGTGTTTCAGGGATGTTGCTCGATATCTTCCATTTTGTCTTGATCGACGATGTGAAGATTTTCTTTGTAGTTTTGTCCTTCAGTTCGTTTTCTGTTCTGGGTGTTGGAATTCAACTGTTGTTTTTCACCAGCTTCCTTGAAGGCTTTCAACTTGATTTTTCAGTTAGGTTTCTTAGGCTACATAGTGAGTAGTGTTAACCTATATATGCTCCCATTCTTCATTTGGTGTCGTGTCCAGTAGGCTGCGTCTCCACTTTCTTCACATTGAGATCAAGTCGATCTGATTTCCAGTGTGTCTGGTGTCTGGTGAAATGCATGTCACTTTGTGAATATCCTCATGTTTGTACACACTGCCTCCAATCACAAAATCGTTGAGTGCACAGAAGTCTGCAAACAGTTCTCCATTCTCAATCAACATTTCATCGAGCGCTTCTACACCCATGTTGAGTCCTCTTCCTGTGTTGTCCGCCCCCAGTTTGGCATTCATGTCACCCAACACATTAGAATTGTGATGTCACCAACTCGTGTGAGGTCTTGTCCAGTACTGATTGCAGTTGTCTGTAGAATTCCTCCTTCTCCTCTTCATCTGCATGATTTGTGGGTGCAAAGAGTAGTGTAGCATTGCATGATTGTGACTTTCCTTCCTTTTGAGTTGAATCCATGTTGCTGTCATGATCCTCATCCTACAGGAGGAGACTGGTTCCCAGTGCATGAGAGAGACAGTCTTCGATGCTGTTGGCAGGTGGACATCATGATAGCCACTCGAAAACTCAGTGTGCTGGTAGTTGTAATCTGGGTGTCAGTATCCGAGTAGATTATTCACTCCTCTCCAGTTGACAGAGAGTTTGGAGAGTCCACTTCCATCCCATCTACACATTACTCACAGATTCCCAGCCTACTAATTCTATACCACACCTTCTCATCTCGTTTGCGATTTGGGCAGCCTTGTCAGCCAGCCAGCCAGCCAATCAGTCAACTTCAAACATAGTGTGAACATTCCATGTCCCTATGCTTACTTTCACTTTCATTGAGAGAAGAGAAGACACATCGGTGGACTGGCTTCTCGATGGCTTTCACCAACCGGCATCATTTCGTCTCTGCGATTGCAGTGATGAATAAGTTTAATTTAATTTTTAATATTTTCGTGTGTGCTTTGAAGTTTGTTTAGGGATTGTATTAGTTTTGCGGTTTAGGTTTGCGAGCCCTATGCCCAACCTTCCTTCTCTATCCGGGGTTAGGACCGGTTAGTAACTACTGAACTAGTAAACTAGGCGAGGTTAAGAACGAGGTTGGTTAGATCCTATTAATTATTACATTTTCAGTTAAAGGCTTGTCATCTTGAAGACTACCTGTCTTTATTCATATGTGGAAGTAACTTGTTATCCCAACCGATTTTTTGTATAAGTTCACTTTTTTGCCATACTCCGTCGTTAGTTGTAAAAGCATGACGTATTTCGTCTAATTAATAAGTCGTTAGGTTAAAGTTATTGTTTTTGAATCGTTTCTATACTTCATAATCCACTTTAAAAGTTGTCGAAGCTGGAAGAATGTAATCCTGTTAATTTTCTGTTCACTATCATGTCCGAAATGTTTCACTGGCGCCTAGAAATAGCTATTAGTGTTAAAAAAATGTGACATAATTATGATTTAGTTTCCAAGCCTCAAATCTGTTTTGTTCTGTTCAAACATGTTGATTGCTAAGGTTAGTTATGTCCCTGAGTGGTTCCGAAAACAAATTATAGTGATAAGTTCATGTGACAGATGGTGTACCTTATTTATCACAAAGCATATAAAATACTGCTCATTGGAATGACAAGTAAATAGCTTTCAATACCCTGCTAAGTAATCATCAAGGAAAAATACTTCGGGTTTATCTAAGAACTTGTCATCCAAAAATCTGCATCCAATTTGAGCATCCGAAACAGTTTTTACTCACACTAAAATTACCCTGCATTAGTGACGAAGTATAAAAGTATCAGTTCCGTTTCTTGTATATTCTGTGAAATGTCAAGAAAACTAGTATTTTTAGTGGTAACAACTTCATCTACAGTTAATTAGCACATAGTTCACTGAATAGTTCGTAGTAGCTCCTATCTACATTTTGTCTACATGGAAACCAATTATATAGTTTACAGGTTGACTATGTCAAGTAAATGTTTTATGGTCTAAAATTTGTCATATAAGATTTTTCGGGATTTGGATGCTTTTTCATTCCACCAGAAATTCTATGCATCATTTCATTCTTTTGTGGTACTGTCATAATAAACTTTCAAAAATCATCAGCTGGATAGTTTTTATCAAAGGGATGCTTTAGAACAACTATTCTGTATTCAAGAGGGATATCTTCTTCGTTTATCTTTATATAAAATGCCGCGATAAATAAGCAGTTGAACAGTTCTTGAGGTGTCTGTATTTTTTGTTGGAAAAGATCAACTGTGGATAGATTATTTTCGGTAATTATTCCACTATTATCGTTTTCAATTTAAAAGTCATTTAAATTGAATCTCTTCTTGTTTAAAGTGAAGACATTCTTGATATTTTGCTGTTTTATTCAAGAATAGGTAAAATGATTACCGTTTTATAACAAAGAAGCATTTTTTATACTAACAAGCTTTGCCTGAAGAAGAATATTTTTACAAAATTTCTTAAAATTACCGGTTTTAATTAAGGCAGCGTTAACATCGATGAATGCAATTGGTTTTATCTCCGCGGAGTACACTGGTGAATAAAAATAAAAATGCTTCAGTGAACCATTTATTTACTTGTTGTAATGTAACATTGGTGTATTGATCTCTTTTATTTCTATAATTTCAGTCCCTCCAGAGTTAGCTCCACCGAGAATAACTTTAGTGACTGCTGCAATTGGTTCACAGACAGTAATTGAACTTCATATCTGGGCTTATCCAATACCTTCATCTATTTATAATTTGAAAGGAAGTAAAATGAAACACCGTTTTGTTAAACACTGCAATCTTCAAGAGATTGATCCACAAATATTGAATGAAGTCAATACACAGAAAAAAGTGTACACTTGGTACAAAGTAACAACAAAAAGAACGCCAAGTGAGATCAGGATTCTTCAAAAGGAATTAATCCATGAAAATTGGATACCACTCGACAGAGAGAAACAAATCTATCATAACTTTAACAAACAACAGAGAATCTGGACTGATGCCATTCTTATTGAATTACCATACTATGAAACGGATGAACAAATAAATAAAAATGTTAGTCAGAATAAAAAAGGTTTATTACGCAAGATACCTACCATTATTTATCGCTTATTTCTAAGTCCTTTGGCAGAAAATGATTACGGAGAATATTTATGTGAAGTAGAACATGAAACAGGTAGAAAGCAATTTTTCATACAAGTCCAACCTCCAGGTAAGTGAATGTATGTGCAATTAGTAAGACTGTAATACTCATTCCTTTTTGCTCAGGTAAACGTTTAAAATCTGTGATGTTTCTTTCATAAATGGAAGAAAGATTAACTCTAAATTTACTATTACTCATGCGTAGGCTAAACATTTATGTCCTCTTTTCACATATCAATAAATGCCAATAGAATAAAAAGGAATTCATGCACAAAGGTAGGATTTGAACTGTTTAATCCGACAAATATAATCAGATGTTAGTTGGTCGGAAGGAATCAGCAGAAACCTTTACTCGACCCAGATTTTGTACTTGTTGGTAGTTGTCAGCTGGGCAAACTTACCAATTCAACGAAGCTGATGTCCTTTCCGGAACTGGAATTTGCGTCGTTCAGTGTTGCAATCAGAAACGATACCAATTAGCTATTTGGGCAGCGATTAATTACTGGAGGGTAGCTAATTTCATATAGTTTAGTCCTAAGTGCTGATCGAATTCTATCAGTCATTTTGCAACGTAGTCCTTATGCTAGAAGTCCCGCCACTGTGATGAACAGCGACATTTCATGAAGAACTGTACCCATTTTCAAAAGAAATCGTTTTTAAAATAAAATTGACTTTAAAATGTTCTTTAATAAAATTTGGTGTGAATAAGATTCCATAGTAATTTTATTTATGATTTTCAGGTAATCCACCAATTAGTGTTAAAAACATTCGCTTTATACGGGAACAATCATATATTCGAGTTTACTTTGATCCATTGAATTTTTTAAGGTCTATAAAAGGTGTCACATCTCATATAGATGATAGTAAGAATCATATTTTAATGACAAAGTCTACTGTGCATGTAAATAAAGTTCGATCATTACTTTCTTCTTCCGCCGATGATAAGAAGCAACAGTTGGAATGGAAAATGGTAATGGTGATATGCCCTTTATACTACTCTCAGCGTAATAAATTATCAGAACATGCTGATAATGATTGTTCTTCACCACACATAAAAAATAGTATTCAAAGAAAATTTAATTATGACCAGTGGTTGGAAGTGTATCGTTTGTTACCAAATATTAAATATCAAACTACTTTACTGTCGAATGAATGTATTGAAAAATTAATTGAATATCCTGAACAAGGTAGAATTGAGATTCTTTTGGCCTACCCATATAATCATACAGTAAAAAATACATCCTATCGTGAAGCAGAAACAAATTTCAATGAAACAACAAAGCAGTCAAATTTGTTCGTGGATAAAGCTTTGCCTAATGATGATCAAGGAATCCAGGTGAACTGGTCAAATGATGAAAAACTGACTTATCAGTTTAGATTTTATGACGAAGTTGGAAGTTTAACTTATTCAACGGAGTGGTATTATGAAGAAAATGGTAAGTTCCAGACATACACTGTGGATCATTTCTCAAGAGTTTGTCGAGACAAGATGCTTTTGAAAATTTCCCTCAAATAGACAAATTATGCAGTCAGGCATATAAAAGCTCAGAGGGTACACTATTCTGTTGATATAAAACAAAGCAGATCTTCAGCCATAGAGAACTCATAATTTTTCTTGAATTTCAATCGTAGATGTTCATTAATAAAGTTATAGATATTATGAAAGAATAATAGTCGCTGGTTAAAACCTACGTCTTAAAGTACTACGTCAGCCATCCAACCAGATAAAGTAAATTGCTCCTATAAAGTTCACCTCAAAAATTTGTCCCATGTTTCAGGGACACCTAACTGTTAGTACTTTATGAAACTCGGTCCCACATATCTTTCGGTGATAAAAAAGTTGTTTAAATGATAAAAATGACATAAAATTGAATAAACTACAGGCCTTGTATCTCAGTAAAGTGCCAAACAGGTAATCTATAGGAACCTTATTGGAAAAAGAATAATATCATGCCAGTTTTCAGGAAACTTCAGTAATCATTCTTGAAAGTGATCAGCACTCTGCTAAACTAGACTATCTCAAAAATTTCCTCAACCGTTAAATGTCCTGATGTGTAAGCTTCACTCACCATCTACGACCGCATATTTATATTAGTGATATTTTGGTGACCCATTGTTGCCAGTGTATGTCTGCATGACACAACAAAGAAAACGCTGGTGAGAATCACAAAGCGTCAAGCAACTTTGTTGATATATAGTTGATAACATTTCGTCACAAAAGTATTTTTACATAAAAGATCTGGAAAAATGGTTTGAGATGTTTTTATGATTTAGAATGTTACACAAGACTTCATGGAGCTATGGAAATCGTGACAGTAATACATAACTTAAAAGACTCAGATTCCCATTACTTTAAGGTCTGGGAAAAGGAGTTGAAAAATATGAAAACGACTTTGAACTGCTGTGAGTGGTCTTACTTGCTAGAAATAAATTAGCAAGAAGCAGTGCATGACTTTGTTTTCGTGTCTACTATTACTCATCTGCAATCTTAAGGAAACTCATATTACATTAGAGACTTGAACCTACACTAAGCAGTGATTAACCACGTTACCACTGGAATTCTCTTGGTTTCACGATGCAATCCCAGTGTTTCACTAGAGGATTAAGAAATTTGGAATGTGTTTGTTTCTTTTTATTTTCAACAGTTATGAATATAACTCTTTTAAAGGTGTCTTAATAGAAAGGCAGTCCTGTAAAGGGGGAAAAAGTATAAATATGGTCGTTAGTAACACTGAGATCATTTTCATTCAAAACAGGTGATGTTGCATTCGTTAAATGTTCAATCCTATGGTTACTGAAAACCTGTGATAAAGTATTACAGCGGTATTTTTACTTTCGGCATTAAATCATTCCGCATATTTCTTTAGATTCATATATCTGTCCATAAATCTAGAAGGATAAACGTTTTATACTGATTTGTAGCCTGCATCTTTTCATTGTACTACCTAATATACGAGTGCTATAAGCTTCATTTTACAGGGAAAGTCAGTTATTGCAATTTCTCATTCCCAGAAGGCTAAAGTCATCGATTTATTGGCTTTTTATCAGTCCATCTTCATCAAATTCTCTCGATAATCTCAGAAAAGGCATAACATAGTAATCATTTGAACCTTGAAGAACTTTTTTCCTCAATCTTTGTCAACCAACCCTTACTCTTTTCATTTTGCTGTTTCTAAAATGAGGTAATCATACTTCTCTACCACAGAAAAAAATGGCCAAAAATAATCTCATAAGAATGTGGTTATAACGCTAACCACAGAAATTTTCATGGTTTATTCATTGTACTGGAAAGTAAACAGTATGCAAAGTTAGGGGAAAACGACATGTTGAGAACCTGTATAGCCTAACAGTTGACAGAAAGAGGTGTAGAATATATCTGAAAACTGCTGTATATCAAACAAAAAATGGATGTTTTGCATAGCTATTCTACTCACTAGCACAATGTAGATTTTCGATACGAAATAACCACTTTGAAAGGCCTAGTTTGTTAAATCCAGTTTCCCGAACTAAGATACTTTGCGACATTCAAGAAATGAATTTGGTGTCGCGGGTAATTTACTGCAATCTCAGTGAATAATTTTTCATTTAACAGATATCAAGTTTTCCCCGAACTGTATGTTAGTATGTTTCACCTATTTCAGATAACTATATTGAAGAATCCGCTTTTTCGCAGTTCATTCATCGGAAAACCTACATGTGGATTATAATTGCTGGTGTTTCAATCTTTCCACTTTTAACCATCCTATTGATCTTGGTATTACGCAAAAAGCTAAGCATTAAAAAAGGTAAAACGCCCTCGGTAATTTAATGCTCTGTTGATGTAAGAATTCTGAAGTGATATAACGTTTAATGTGACTCAGTTTACTGTATATTTTTTCATTAATTTTTTTGGCTAGGGATAATATTAGGCAAAAGTTGTAATGCGTACACAAAATCTTTGAAACCTAAACATGAGCCTATTTTATCAATTGTTAAAGGAAGTTTTAAATGAATTTTCGAAAGTAATTAGCTGTAATTAAGTTTGTGCAGTGATAGTGAAGCTGTAGAGAATAATCAGTGACACTGACTGCTGTTTGAACATATCAGTCAGTCATTAGTTATGAGAAAATAAAGTTGTTTGCCTAATTCTTGAAGGTGAAACAGATCAACTAGCTTGGATTTGCTGCTGAAGCCCTGTAGTTAAATGATTTTCAAAGGTTAGCTTAGTATTTAGACAGTTCCAAGTCACTTGACCGGTTACACAATGGTTAGTTACCAGTAAATTTGTTTCAATGTAATTTAATAACCTAACTAAAGTCAAACAAAAATCTGAATGGAAACAAGATTTAAACGACTGACATCCATGGTACTTGAAAAATTTATACTTCCTCAAATTGATCACTTAGTATTATATTTACTACTGTTAATTTCTCACTTATACATTTCATGTTAAAATGACGCTATTGAAAGTCATACACGGTCCAGAGCTCCTGTACTTATCCACTGATAAATTCTACCTGGTCTTAAAAATGATTCATAAAAAGCAATGAGTAGGTTATCCAAGATATCTACTGTCCTAGAGTTGTTTTTCTATTCAAATTTGTCGTCTATGAAGTCTTGAATATTTTCATTAAACCTTATCTATTCATTTTCTTACTCACCTCACATACTCTCGTCTACCCCGACACCATTCTTTTTCTAACTACTTCTTTGAACGGTACTGAAAAATGTGGGGGAATTAAGTGATTCACTTTTCTACTAGGCCCTAAGTTGATTCATTCGATTATTTAATGCAGATTCCCAGTGAAATCAATTTTCGTTCTTCGTTTTATTGTTACAATTAACCAATTGACCAAGTAATTTCTTAGACAGTATCAAAGATTAACGTCACAGTGTGGGTATTTGCAATTGGAAATGTGTACAGAAGTGGTGCTTAATAAGTGTTCGATTGTACTGAAGAAGGTAAACTAAGTACAGAAGTATTTCAATCCTTACTTTGTTCCTGGTTTACACCACAGTTTAATGCCTTCTGGTAGCAATAATCAGACTCTTAGCTGTAAGTGATAAATGATCTTAAGAAACATTTTTGCTGTCAATAAGATGGGCTTAACTATGGTTATGCATTATCTACACTCATCAATATCTCTTATAAAAAGACACATGATTCCTAACAACTCTAAGAGCAAACGTGATCTCTGTAGAGACATATGTCTCATATGCGGTTCATACATTTCAGCAGGTGAGTCAGTATAGGCTTTGCTTACTTTTGGTTATGACGTACTAAAAGCCTAAAAGGAAGTGTAATAGTTCCTGCACATTAGTAAATATCTTCTGAGGCAAAAATGGAGTTCAGACTGATTACAATAACTTCACCATTCCTACAAACAATGGAAAAACTGTTGCTTCATGCATTTGGATCTCATTTGGAGGCTTTCAGAGATCAAAATCAATTTATCTACAAACCAAAAAGGAGTACTTTAGAAGTTGCAACTGTTTTAAATTATAATGTCATTGCCAGTTTGAACAAAATGCTTAGTATGTTAGTTCTACCTTCTCAGATTAAACTCCTACCTCTGATTTTATTTCTGAACTCCTTTTATTGGACAAGCTTGCCAGAACTCACGTTGAGTCCTGGATTGTAAACTGGTTTCATTTTTACTTTTCTGAAAGTAGACAGTGAATTATATACAGAGGGAAGGGTTCTACTTTGCTACTCAATGAAGCCTATGTGCATCAAACTGCTGTTCTTTCTCCTTTTCTTTTTCATTTTGCTTAACTTACCAACGTTAACTAAAGATACCTTTGTTAAGTACGTAGATGATCTAATAATATAATATCCAAGCTGAACATCTCTTCAGATTGTTTCCAGTTCCTTAAATGGTCTGACACTCAACCTCTCCGAATGTCAGATGGTTAATTTTAGTTAAGAACGTGAACAGGACCTGTGTAAGTTGCTTCATCCCATGACTCAGGTCTTATAGATGGCTCTGTTGTGGAAAATGCATCAAGCGTTATCCGTCCTGGCTTGTGACTTTCTTCTGATTCTTTTTGGTTCCCTTGTATCTTACTGATTTCCAGGAAAATCGTTCTTTCGACCTTTGATACAAGGAAACTTAAACTGTCTGGTATAACTCAAACTCTACTCTAACATTTCTTTAATTACTGTGTTTTGCCTATACCTACTAAGTGTCCCTCCTTATTCTTTTGGGACTCCGGAAAAAAGATTACGGTGTACTGAATGGGATTTTGAAGGCTGTTAGTAGAGTAAGTTTTACACCAATAACTGTGTCGACAATTGCTGCCGTGGAAAGGTATCTGAATTGCTGTAGATAGCTAAATGAAAATATCTTATCTGATGACAAGCATCCTCCGCATCTGCATTTCTGTCCACGTCTGTCTTCTGAGAAAATGAGAAGCAAATATATTAAGCTTTATGCACATCTATAGAAAAATACTCAACCATACCTCATTTAGCTGGTATATTATATGAAGAAAATCATATTAGACAGAGTCCCATAAGTTAACTTTGCAATACTGGAAGGTCATCATGACCTTGACGTCATTAAACATGTCAACAATCGTGTTATTCCTTATCATGTACTGCTGAACAGCATTATTGTGAATATATGTTAGAAAAATGCTGTACAACATTGAAGAAGACCTCCTTTGCCGCTCAGCTTCTGACTGTTTTCTCCAGTCAACAACTGATTAAAGGGTGTGTTAAGGATAAATCACCACTTAAAACCACCTCTACGTATGTTCACTAATTAATCTGTTCTTTCAGAGCTGGTTACGTAGGCTGCAAGTCGTGTTCTATCTAAACGAATCTCCGAACACTTTCCTCCCTGGTTGTCTAAGGGATAGTGTAAAGCCAGAAATAACTTGATTCTTAAACATTTAGTTATCTCTGGTCACTGTACTCTACGAGAGTCTTCTTTCAAAGTCATTTATAAAGTGAAGATAAATATTTCGAAGCGAGTGCGCATTCGCCACCTCAACTTGGCAGACGCTCTGGAAATCAAGCACTAAGAGTCTGCTCTTTGTATTCAAAAGAGGTACATTCAACATCTAATTTTGTCTTGGTCGTAATCTCTCCAAGATACTTTATTCATTTTTTTGCTCATTTGCTGCAGTCCAATAAGCAATTTCTGATAATCTTGATTTGGCCTTCTAGCCGTTATCACCATGCGACCTTATTTATCATTTTTGATGACTTTGCACTGACCCATTTGCCGTTGATGGGTATATATATATATATATATATATATATATATATATATATTGTTGTAAATAAGATTACGATGTACAGCTATTGGAAATGATTTGTCGAATGGAATATTTTTATCACTGCGTCGTGTTTTATTAATTTATCCAAATATTTATTGATGGATAAACGTTTTGTCAATTAGATCAAATTTAGTTTCTGGGAGTAAATAAACTGAATCATCTTTTAGAAGTAGTATTCATCATGGATTGGCATCAGCTGGGGAACCATTGAAAATCCGGGAGCACTAGATAGCTGTTTCGTCCCAGTATGGGGCTCGTCAGCAGTATGCACCCAGGATCCGGCTAGGGATCGAACTCAGGACCTTCGGGTTTCACGGTGAACGTGTTAACCATTCAGCCACTGGGCCAGTTTCCAGTGGCTCACAGTTTCCAACTTCTGTCAGTTCACGACATAGTGCGACTATCACCCAAGGTCTGCAGTTAGCATCCACTTCACTTCCGACTGGTTGACCCCATAGGTCAAGGCTTCTCATTAGAGCTTCCTGATATCCATCTAGAAGCAAGTCACTAATGGGCACTATACAGTAGTGTGTTTTTGGGATGAATGGGGATTTTTTAATTCAGAAGTAGTATTCATCATGGACTGACATCAGTTGGGGAACCATTGAAAACCCGGGAGCACTGGACAGCTGTTTCGTCTTAGTACTGTCAAGGAGTCTCATACTAGGCCGAGACAGCTGTCCAGTGCTCCCGGGTTTTCAATGGTTCCCCAACTGATGTCAGTCCATGATGAATACTACTTCTGAATTAAAAAATCCCCATTCATCTCAAAAAATACATTGCTAAGTCATCTTTTATTTACTTTCAGACTTCCGGAATGGTCGAGCAGAAATGTCAGTTACACATCATTAGGACTCATATTCTGTTTATTTCAAGACATGGCGTCAACTGAATCAGAGTTAACCGAAACTTATCAGTAGTGATTCATATCTTTAACCATATGTTTAGTCATATCTAAGTAATTCGTTATTATAAAAGCAATCTTACTAAGTCATTTACAAGACAAAAGAAGCAAGAAAGAATAGTTTTATTCAGAAAATATGAACGGCAATAAAGTAGTATTTTCTCATTTTAATTTTTTGAATAAGTCTTGCCTGTTTGATTTCTTTTTTCAGTTTTAAGAAGCTGAGAGACTTGACTGAGTGAAGAAAATAATTACACCAAAACTTAAACGTGTCATTATAAATAAAAAAGAAATACAGTTGCTTACTACGCAATAGCAAGTCTAATCCCCATTTAGAGCAGTACAGTTACAAAGGCTACAGGATGCTAGTTATTAATCGGCATGTACACAGTTATTAGATATCACCATGAAACTTATAATTACTATACTTCACTTGAACAAACAACTTACTAATTTATTTTATACGTAAACTGAAACCTTTTAGAAAGCCAACAACTCTATCATAAAGGAAATGCATTTGGGCAATGCTCAACTTATTAACTCTATCAGGTCAAGTTTTAATCCTGAATTCAATAATAATAACTTCATATTTACTGTTAGAGTAATTTGCTCAGT